TTCTAAGACTCTATCTAGTCTTCAGGAATCATCTTGGGCTTGCTTGAATAATCATCTTTATCACCTACGTCATAAATTCAACTTGTCCTTAAATTCATCTTGAATGGTGTTGACTTGAATGTAGTTGACTTGAATCATCATCAAAATCATCTCTTGGGAATGCAGGAACATTTCCATCAATCTCCCCCTCATTGCTTTCAATCTCCCCCTTTTTGATGATGATCAAGGAAACACCTGAAATGAATTAAAATGCTTGACTCTATATAACCAGCTCAAGATTAGCACAAATTTGTATCAAGTGTCAGAGTATCTTAATCTCCGCCTGGATATATTAATAACAAGATTCCCCCTAACTCATATGAGCAAATACTTCTCTTTTTCATTGATAATTAAAAAAATATTATAAGAAAAAAAATCTCCCCCTGTTTCACACAGATTAATATCATCAAAATATCTTCCTGCTTCATTGATAATTATGAAAAATATTGCAATAGAAACTGAGAACAAATTTGTACCTATTAGTATATAAATTAAGGTAGAGAAGATAATGCATTAAAAAGTGTCATAGAGAAGAATATCATATTAAGGAAACAATATTTAGGATACCCAAGACAAATGAAGAGAGAGAAAGATAAGAGAATAAAGTGATTATAGAGATAATGAAATTAAATGCAGTAGTTTCCCTCCATTGCAGTCTTCTTATTTAGGCAACTTTCAAATTCAAATGCACTCATATTCCACATTTCAAATTTCAAATCCAAATTACAACAAATTTCAAATTCAAATTCCAACCAATTCCAAATTTCAAATTCAAATTTCTAATCCCAAATTTCAATTCAAATTCAATTTCAAAAATCTCAAACTGCAAAAATTTCAAATTTCAAAATCTCAAACTACAAAATTTCAAATTTCAAAAATCTCAAATTGCAAAATTTCAAATTTCAAGAATCTCAAACTGCAAAATTTCAAACATTAATAATTTCAAATTTTCATAAATTCAAACTTTCAAAATTCAAACTTTCAACATAATTGATTATGACAACAAGAAAAAAAATCCGATTCTGATAATAGATGCTCAAATTATCATCTAGACATGTATAAATATTTTGTTCCTTTAGGCACCCATTCATATTTTCCATTAGATATGCCAAAATGTTTTATGTAACATCTATTTGATGTATGACCTAATTTCATGCAATAAAAACATGTTGGTTTTCTTTGAAAATGTCTAAATGCGTTTCTTAAAGGTTTTGAAACTGGTTTCACATCTGTTTTCCTTGATTCTTTCACAAAAATAGTTTTATGAGGTTCTAGACTTTCTTTGGGTTTGTAACCAAGTCCAGCTTTGTTGGAATTTCCTCTTTTATAACCTAATATCGAATCAAGATTTTCAGAAGATTTTGAAAAATTGCTTATTATTTTCTCTAACTTGAAAATCTCATTTTCCAAAAGATTACAATTTTCACAAGGTTTAGCAACTTCTTTATTTTTAGACAAAGTTTTAAATTTCTCAACATCTTTCTTTAAGCACTCATTTTCTTTTTCAAGAATACCAACAATATTTTCTAATGCATTAAACTTTTGCCTAAGTGCATTGTATTTCTTAGATAACTTGGTAAAACCTTCATACATATCTTGATATTCTTTAAATAACTCATCATATTCATTTAAGGAATTTGTACTACTTACTTGTGATGAGGCTTCATCGTCACTTTTTTTCATCAAGCAAATATTTGCTTCTTCTTCTCCATCACTGCTTTCGGAAGAACTCTCTTGTGTTGTGGAAGAATCATTATCCTCCCAAGCAATATAAGTTTTGTGTTTGCTCTTATAGGTATCGTTTTTCTCTTTCACATATTTCTTCTCTTTCTTAGGTTTCGGACAATCTGATTTGATATGACCAGGTTTTCCACATTCATAGCAATGAAATTTATTTGTTTTCTCCTTTCTTTGCTGTCTCTTTTTCCTGTTCTTCATAAAGCGAGAAAATTGTTTAACAAAAAGAGACGTATCGGAATCCGAAAACTTACCTTCATTTTCGCTTTCATCTTGTGAAGATTGTTCTACTTTTAGAGCTATCGTCTTGGTTTGATTTTGTTCACCGTTCTTTAACCTTTGTAGCTCCATCTCATGTTCTTGCAGCTTTCCAAATAGAGTAGCAATATTCATTTTTGTGAGATCATTTGATTCTGTAATAGCAGTGACCTTTGGTTACCAATTCCTGTCTAAGGATTTCAAGATCTTTGTGTTCAACTCCTCATTGTCAAAACTATTTCCTAATGCTTTCAAGTGATTTACTATATGTGTGAAGCGTGTCTGGAAATCCGTGATGCTTTCATTTTGCTGCATTTGAAATAATTCATACTCCTGGATGAGTGTGTTCTTACGTGCTCGCTTTACTTCATTTGTTCCTTCATGTGTTACTTCAAGAGTGTCCCATATTTATTTTGCCGTCTTGCATTGTGAGACCCTGAAAAATTCATTACGAGTTAAGGCAGAAACAATAGCGTTTCGGGCTCTTACATCATATTGGACACGCTTGTTTTCATCTGGCGTCCATTGATCAAAAGTCTTTGGAACAGCTCCAGACTCCGTTGTTCTCATCGGAATGTAGGGACCATTGAGTACAGCATCCCAAACACCATAATCTAGTGTTTGTAAAAATATTTTCATTCTCGCCTTCCAAAACTGATAGTCTTCTCCTTCAAATAATGGTGGTCTGTTTATTGAGACTCCTTCCCTGTAAACTTGATTCTGCATAGACATCTTGACAGATCGTTTAGAAATATCTTATCTAACCAAACTCTGATATCACTTGTTAGACAAATGACATCTAGAGGGGGGGTGAATAGATGCACAAATTAAAATAGATGTCAAATTAAAAATTTATTTGAGTCAATAATTTGTTAAAGCAGAAGCAATAATATAATCAGGAAAAGAGAAAGAGATAAGGGAAAGAGAAGAGCACACAAAGATTTATACTGGTTCAGGTATAGCCAACCCTACATCCAGTTCCCAGTCAACTCTTAACACAAGAGTGACTCCCCATTCACTATCTTTCAAATTCAGTTTACAAATTACAATCAACTCAGCACTAGTAAAAAGTAAACTAATTAAAAAGACAATCATCTCCTTAGAAACCCACTAAGGATGAACACCTCCCTAGAATCCCACTAGGGATGAACACCTCCTCTGAACAAATCAAAGGATGAAAAACACCTCCTTAGAATCTCACTAAGGGTGAACACCTCCCTAGAATCACACTAGGGATGAAGGTAATAAAAATAAGAACAGACACACCTGGGTAATAGAGACAACAAATTGTAGAAGCCTGTAGAATATCAATCTCCAAGAACAAGTGTGATTAACAATGAAAGCACAAAAGACAGTAGAGAAGAGGGTTTTCTCAAAAGGTGTAAAATATCTCTGTTGTCTTGCTCAAAATTCTTTTCTCAAAACTGATTGAATGTAAATTGTATTTTCGAATTCTATAATGATGTGTTTTTTATTTTTCATCAAAACTTAATTAAATAGAAAAATAACATCATAAAATGGCCGTTGGACATTAATAATATCATAGAGAAAATAAGGATGTATTAAAAAATATTTATTCTTTAAAACGGATATATTTTTCAAATTTGAATTGTCATAATTGATTATATTACCAGTATAATTAATTATGATAGAGAAAATCATTTTTCCATTTCAGGTGCATCATAATTAATTATGGCGATTGAAAAATATCATGTTATGAATTTTATCACACTTGTGCTTTGAAGGCTTATGCATAATATTACTTCATCAACTTGTACCTCCATATCCAGGTATTCTAAGACTCTATCTAATCTCAAGAATCATCTTGGACTTGCTTGAATCATCATCTTTATCATCTACGTCATAAATTCAGCTTGTCCTTAAATTCATCTTGAATAGTGTTGACTTGAATGTAGTTGACTTGAATCATCATCAAAATCATCTCTTGAGAATGCGAAACATTTCTATCAATCTCCCACTCATTGCTTTCACATAATATTTATATACAACATAATTTCAAAGAACTAAGAAATATATATATATATATATATATATATATATATATAAATAAAAATAAAATAATTTTTTTATCTTAATTCTTAAGATAGATAAGACTCATAAAATATAATTTACTAAAAAATATATATAAATAAAGGAAAATTTAATTTCAATTATATGAAAAAATGTCTCAATCTAATATTTACTATAATAATATTTTATGATAAATTATTTTAGAATTATAATTTATTATAATTTTATTTTTAAAAAATATTTTATTAAATTAAGAAAGTAATAAATATATAAACTACTCACATTTTAAACTAAGTTATGAGTATCGGCAATCATATCATTCTTCAACTATTTTCCTCAAATTGATAATATTTTTAAATTTAAAGATTACAAGTTTCAAAACATTTTGAATTAATAAAAATAAATTATTTTGATTTAAAAATTATAAATAAATTAGGAATATTAAAAAATAAAAATAAGGACACATAAATTATTTAAAATTAATAAAAAACGTTTATTTTCACAAATTAAAAATAATAACTTTTGAGAAGATAAAGTTGGGTGATAAGGATAAAAATAAAACAATAAAAAGATTTTCCAATTATCTTGAACAATACAAAAAGAAATAACTTTCCCAATGATTTGGAACCCTAACCCAATATATAAATCAACTTATTAAACTTGCACACATACAAAGTCCTGTACGCAATCTTGTGTTCAATTCAATCCAGCCTCCGTCTTAGACTTCCCAAACCTTATCATCACAACCCCAACTCAGAACTGCAGAGAAAGTAACATTTTCTCTCACACTCGACAACGGCCGATTTCGCTGGAACAAACGTTCCACGATTGACAACCACCCTATATGTCACAAAAAAACCCCAACATCACCCTCACACCCTAGTTTTATTTTAATTTTCAATTTATTATTATTTTTTTGTTTTTTGGGTTCTCCAATGGCGACAGACGCTAGGGCGAAGTTTCAGAACCCGGATTTTCGCCCCGATTTTCACGCGGACTTAACGGTATCAACTCACGACGGACTCCACTTTTGGCAGTTCATGATCGCCGGATCCATCGCGGGCTGTGTCGAACACATGGCCATGTTTCCCGTTGACACCGTTAAGACCCGTATGCAGGCCTTGGGCTCCTGCCCCGTCAAAACCGGTACGGTCCGTCAGGCCCTAAAGTCCATTCTTCAATCGGAGGGGCCGTCGGCCCTTTACCGTGGCATTGGCGCGATGGGCCTCGGCGCCGGCCCGGCCCACGCTGTCTATTTCTCCGTATACGAGACCTGCAAGAAGCGTTTCTCTGTTGGGAAGCCTAACAACGCCGCCGCGCACGCCGCCTCCGGCGTCTGCGCCACCGTGGCCAGCGACGCCGTGTTCACACCGATGGACATGGTGAAGCAGCGGCTGCAGCTGGGGAACAGCGGTTACAAAGGGGTTTGGGACTGCGTGAGGAGGGTCATGAGCGAGGAAGGGTTTGGGGCCTTCTATGCCTCTTATAGGACCACCGTGTTGATGAATGCGCCGTTCACCGCCGTGCATTTCACGACCTATGAGGCCGCGAAACGTGGTCTAATGGAGGTCTCTCCGGATAGTGTTGACGATGAACGGTTGGTTGTGCATGCCACCGCCGGTGCTGCTGCCGGAGCCTTGGCTGCCGCGGTTACGACGCCTTTTGATGTTGTCAAGACTCAGTTGCAGTGTCAGGTTAGTTGTAATACTAATATAATTATTGTTATTGTTGTTGATATTTCCTTCCTCGTTGTAGTTTTGAATGTATAATAGGATATGGTTGCTATTAGAGTTTTGGATTGTTTAGTACATGACTTCAAGGTTTAGTATATGAACAATGTGGTTGTGGTATGGAAAAAGAAGTGAATTGCAATATTTGATTGAATTTGAGAGTGTGGTAATTGCATTTTGAATGAGGTTAAGGTATGGTTTACTACCTGTCCTTTAGGATTCAGTATATTGAATAATGTGGATGCTTGGTTGCCGGGTGAGAAAAGAAGTGGATAGCAATATTTTGATCACAACCTTAGACTGTGATAATTACATTTGAATGGAGCTTAGGTTTTGTATTACGTTTTCTTTATTTTCATCTGTGCTAGTATGATATAATAATGTTGGCTTATGTTTATCTATTGTTGCTTCTGTGACATGTTCTTTCGTGGATATACTATTCTTGTACCACAACAGAGGCTCTGAGAAAAAGTCAATCCAATGGAAGGTGGTCCGATTAAAATAGGTATAGGATAACTTTAGAAAACTTTGGGGAAATATTTTGCACTAAGTACTTTAACTACAATTCTGGAGACAGTTCAATGATTCTATTGATTCTAGTGTCAGCCCCCTTAAAAGGATAGGGATTGGGCGAGTAATGAGATTGTGGGATCAAAATGCTGCCTCAGGTGCTCCATAAGGAGTTGCTCTTGGGTATGTTTTCTTAGGATTACAGAGAGTTTGTGAAGATTTGCTACGTTCTTATTTCTCTTTCTAAATCTTTTCATGTTGTGTATTTGTTATTCTTGTACTTCACCACCTTCTGGTTGATGAATATCTGAATAGATAAAAGAAAGAAAGAAAGTGGATGCCAGTAAGCTACTAGTGTATCTTCTTTAAGGACAGGTTTATTATTAAAATGATAATTAGTAGCATCAAATTATGGCATATAGGTACAATGCCATGTAATCCGTTAACAATGCCATCTAAACCTAACATTAAAATGGGACGAGTTCATTTTATAATTCTGTAGAATCATATGTAGATTAAGGAGCCAGCAAGAAGCATCCTTTTAAATTTATATGGAGATTTTTATATGATCTTTTTGTTGTTTATATTGGGATTAATATAGGTTTATAAGACCTACATATCAGATGAAGTTGATAATTTCAATAAAAAAAATGTTCCTTGAGGTTTCTGCACTCCTGTCATGAGTTTATTGTTATTGTTATTATTATTATTATTATTGTGTAATATGGTACTAATTAAGTTGATACTTTAACTGGAAATTTGACTGTGTAAAAACTTTTATTACATGAATTTGTTAAGCTTTAGGGATGATGGTAAATCATGGGTAATCAATCAGGAATTTTTTTAATCTTTACTTTTCTAGGATAGTAACTTGACATGGTTGATGTTGCAGGGTGTCTGTGGTTGTGATAGGTTCAAAAGTGGATCAATTGGGGATGTTGTTAGAACAATATTGAACAAAGATGGATATAGAGGGCTCATGCGAGGATGGATTCCAAGGATGCTCTTTCATGCTCCTGCAGCTGCTATTTGCTGGTCTACATATGAAGCTGGAAAGTCCTTTTTCCAAGATTTCAATCAGCAGAAAGACACTGGAACTGTTACCTAAATATCAGAGTTAGAATATTCATCATTCTTCAGTTCCATTATAGATTATTCTGTCTATCAACATCGATAAAATCTTACAGTCGGGTTGAGAGCAAGCAAGCATTTTAAGTTCTGCGTTCAAACCCCAAATAATATACAGAAAGCATCGGATTGACCTACAAATGGAGAACTTATTGTCATGTACACATTGTCAGATTCAATTATGATTATCCCTGTTTAGCTTCTTTCTAGTTTCTTTTAGACAGAACAATATTCCATGGAAATGCTCCTACACCACATGAAATTTTTGCCTTAGTTTCATGCAATTGTAAGTTTTAATTATGTTGAAGATTATATGACATTCTGAAATTGAGGGATTTCATTTCCTGGCTTAACCTATTATTTTGTTATCTATCTATTCCACTTCAGTTGTTCCTCTATTGCTCAGGCTGGTAGGATGGGGTTTTAACTTTATGCGTTGATTATGTGTTTTCAATAGTTTCTCCGACTAAAATATTTTGACGATAAATATGCAGGACAGTTTTCTTGGATATTATTTTTTGTTAAGATGTCCAAGAACTTGGGTGCGAAGCCGGTGATATTATTTCAATATATGATGTGAATAGTCCAACTTAGAAATTTGACGACAATGAATTGGAGATAAAAGTAAGAGAAAGTTTCATTTAGGTTTTTATGAGTTTAAGAATATGGAATCAATATGATAAAATGATATTTTGATTGATGAGAATGTCACATAAAAAGTGAAGTTGTTGAAGCCAAGTTTTATAGTTCTACAATTACAGCGAAATTCCTTTAGTGTTTAAAGCCAGGGATTATCTTATTGTTATACAATTAGCCAGTGAATGTAGGGTTTTAAATAGATAGTAAGAAAAGTGGGTATAGAAATGAGTACGCTAAAATGAATGTCCAAGCTTACTAGAAAATATGGAATGCAAATTGATTATTTACTGATATAAGTGACACTTACTTAATAAGGAAGAAAAAAAAAATACTGTTATTCATGAGATTTAACAACAGCTTGAAGCATAGAGACGCTTCTCAGTCTCTCTACCAACAAATCCTCTTAAGAAACTGCCTAATCTCATCAAAGCAACCTTCCACTTTTACCAACATTAACATAAAAGTGTTTGCTTGCCGTTGGATACATGTATTTTTCTGCTTTCTGACGTTCAATTTCTAATACACAGTTGTCTTGAGGGGGAATACCAGTTCTAAATCAAACGTACACTAAGACTCTATTTGGATATGCTATTCTAATGTGTATCTTGTTTTCAAGGCAAAAACACTAAATCTAAATACTAATTAAAAATTCAAACTTCAAGGTATTTGGATAATCTAATTTATTATGTAGCATGGGTACTCCTAATACGCATGTCTTATCCGTACCGATTACGTACCTGTATTCGATCTTGTTGGGTACTCCTGAGAATACTAAAGAAATGGTGGGTGATGTATAATGCTGCAATTTCTAGGCTTTAATAAATTGCATTAAAATTCTTTCATAACTATATTTTCTTGTTATATATGAGATAAAATAGAACACATCCATTTATTTATTTTATAAAAAATAGATTAATCCTAAAAAAAACTAAAAAAATTAGTTTTTATATATACAATTCCTCTCCAAAAAGAGTAATAGTTATAAAAAGGGTAAAAAGCAAATGAACATGATGGGAATGAATGAGATCTTCGTACTTGAAAGGGTTGAAACCTTTGAAGTTTGCTGATCCTTTTTCTTAATGAACTATGTTTGAAACAATTCTTTCCAAACAAAATGGAGAATGAAATGATGAGATTAAAACTATTTAGTTATGATATCATAGTTATATTTAACTCTTATAGTATTTTTAATAAAATTTATATATTTTAGTTTTTAATTATGATATATGTTTTTGTCATGTTCATTTCATCTTACATTATGAATTATGTTTATTTATGATTTCACCATTTACAAAATTGAATCATATTTATAATCAAACTATATTCTTTATATAATAATAATAATAACAATAATAATAATAATAACTATTATTATATTAACATATTAGCTAGAAAACAAGCAGACCTGGACTATGTAATTGGTGATAATGCAATTTAATTCAGAAGTACAATGTACAATATCTGGATTATTTTATCCTCCTCCTTTTTCCTTCTTTCCCCTTTTGCAGATGCTATTTTCACCTTGCTTTAAGCCATTCACAAAAACTACATCTAACTGCAAACATATCAATATCTGGCTTGAAATTTCTCTCACAGGATTTTTCTGGTTCCCAAAATTGGTATACTGATCCTGTTATCACAAGGTCTTTGTGAATCAAACAACTAGTAAGTGACAAGAATAGGTTAATGGATATGCATAAATTTGCCAATGTTGGCCTTCACTAGCTGGAGCCCCTATCTCCTGCAAAAGCACAGTAAAAACTTACCAATGGAAACTTTGTTTTTAGTTCCTACTAATTAATTCTCTAATGTGCTAAGTACTTCATTTCCAAGACATGACATTGAACCACAACTAAAATCATACACTATATTGCATTCTCATGAATCACTGGACAACTTTAAGAACAACCACGACATGTTCAAAAAAAGTTGGGAAATATTGATTATAACAGCTTAAAGTTGCATTTCAAAATAGCAACAAAAATTAACAAACATCCAGGGCAAAATGAACTATATGTATAAATTTAAGTTTCATGACAATTTTCTCGTCAAGAGGTATATGGAGTCAAACAATGAACTATATATATAAATTTAAGAGGAGTAGGTAACCCTTATTGGGTGAGATTTTTCAACTTGCAAATGCAGCAACACTGAAGTATATTGTGAAAAAATAACAATTATTTCCAATTTTTCAAGTAAGTCTGAATCAATCAACAAGCAACTTGTAACAGTATACCTGTGTAAAAATTATTTGCTTGTCCCTTAAGTATATGCAGCAGCTTGAAGTTCACTGTGTGCGTCCCTTTTGCACCTTATAATTCTTGCTTGGTTGTCTATAATTTCTAGAACCTGGAAAATATGAACTCAACTGTAAAATCCAAAAACTATTTCATGTCAATCATGATTATAAAGAAATAGGTACTGTCTACATGATAAACTGAATTAACTTATATACATAGTTCCGATGCAACTTTTCCCCCCCAAAAAAAACAAGGGCTTTCTGTGGGAGGTGAGCATTGAGAGGAAGTCAAGAAGAAAGATTGAGAAGAATGCGATTATCACTTAAAATATTTAATACATAACCAAAATATTTAACTCCAATTGAATAATTACATCATGGTCACGGATTTTTTTTACCTCTGGTCTTGAATTAAGAACTCCACTGGACATTCCAACATCTATGCGCCATATGCTACAATTGTATTTACTGTAGGAATCAAAGAACTAGTTTCAATAATAGAACTATTTCAACCACAATGCACACCTAGAAGACTTTTGTATTTTCCATTTAGGTTAAAACTCAAGTATCGTATGATACAAATTATTCAGATTTTAAACAACTTGTGGTTATTTTAACCATGTTTGAAGAGATATCTTCTCTTACCAATTTACACCTGTAGTTTGAGGAGTATGCCCGACCACCATTGACTTAGCACCAACTGCTTGCAGTGTCTCGTCAAGAATGGAACATACCTGGAAATCAAATTTAGTTTCAAAATGTCATCCATGTCAGCTAGAAACGGAATTCCATTAATCTGCTAAGGATGTCACAGAACAAGTTAAAGAATGTCACTAATTAATCGGATATAAATTAAGAAACATTTGATAAAGCAGTACCAGAGTCCCCTTCCAAATTTAAATCTGTCCTGACATATTTTAGTGCAAGATGGAGCTAAGAAGCTTGTTTTCAGTAACAGAAAATTGTATTTCTGGATATGTCAGATGGCCATTGCGACATTAAATAAATTTGTGCTTTCTTGGATGTACTTTCTAAAGATTCGTGTTTCTCTATGCAATACCAGATATAATTCTCATTAGTTAATTACTGTTTTCTTCTTCCAGGTTTTCTTTGCTGCATTATCTCTTTTGTCATACTATATCACTTTTTTACATATAGAAGTGTTTTATTCTATTGTAACCATTAGGGGGAGTACACTTTTCAGTTCTTGCCTTCTGGAAGATTTGAGTCCCTAAAACTCCAAAGTCTGTAAACTAACAACCTTCTTGGCTTAGTAATGTTGATTAAAGAAGAAAGCAGACATAGATCAAGTTGGAAAGGAAAAATTATACATATGTAAAATGGGGAATTGCACTAACCATAAATTTTTTTTAGGGACAAAGATAGTTACCATCTTTTCTATTAAACCCTCATATAATCTTTTTGTATTAATTACAATTACTATGTCATCAGTATAGTTACCTGATTAGTTTGATAGTCCACTAAATCTGGTGCGTCTCTTGAGTATAAACGATTCCAAACAACACTGTCATAGCCCCTAGTGGCAATGAAAGGAAATTTGAGAGTATTGTCATTCTCATGCTGACCTTTCATCCACTCAGACACTTCTTTATTCATCCTCTCTATGCCATATGCAACTACATGAAATGAAAGGAAGAAAAATGATGAAGAATATATAGGAATGCAGCATACACTGCTCAAGTAAAAAAAACCATCTCAAGTTATAAAAATATTTACCATGGTGAGGGAGCAGTCCACCATGACAGAAGACCCAGTCATTGACCTTAAGTACAACAGCATGCCTTGCAAGCTCACGTGCAAGAAGCCCACCAGGCCTAAAGAGGACTGATCTGGCTATGACTCCCTTTTGCCTCTGTCCTAATAATTGGAAAACTTCATCAAAAAACAAGGACACGATATTTGTTTTTCAAACGAGAAAACTTGTGTTTTACTTAAAAGATGACAAAGTATTTCCTTATGACCACAAATACAAGGACATGATGATATAGCTCTTTAAAATCACTTAAAGCGAGTTTAAAAGACATTGTTTAGTTTAGTTTTATCCAAATAAAAAACTCATTGTGTAAACTACTCAATTATTTATTAAAATTTAAATTCTTTTCCTTCAGTTTATCACGCTCACCTGCATGAAGAAAGTCCTAAATCTGTAAAATCTTTTTTTCTATTATTGTCAATACGTTGATTTAGGTGGAGGGACACAGTCCTTTATATATAGAAAGTAGTTTTAAAGAGAGTATGCTTGATGAAAATATAAAAAAATATATAATGACTTGAAGAAGAATAAGTACTTCAGAAAGAAAAATGGGACAGAAATTTATAGTACCTTCAATAAGCTCCATGGTCCCCAATAACTTTTTGAAGTTGCTCGATCTTCTTTCCACCTTTCAGAGACATCAACCCAAGAAGTAAAAGTGTCCTCCCAGTCATCTTCAGAACCATTGATATATTCTAAGAAATCAATACACTCATCAAATCCTCCAGAATTAACATATCTGAAATCCCCTTCCACATTCATGGTCTCATGATTTCCATTTACCTAGATGCAGCAAAGTCAGTTATGGAAAGTTACTTCAACAGAGAGATAATAGTTGAGATAATAGTTGAAAAATAATGAACAGGTTTCTTCAGAGTTTTCAATATTCCATTTAACACTTAAATCTAGATGAAGATAGAAACATTATAAGAGAAACCATGCTATAATGCCCATAGATTTTACAATATTATTGGTGATGTTGACTATACTATTAAGCTATTAGAGATATTAACTTGAATGCTTTCAATTCTGTAAGTAACTGAAACTTTTAAAAGTCACAAATGACAGACCTGAAACACAGCTCCACCTTTTGCTTTTGCCTGTTTATCCAACGATCGCAGCAAGGATAAGATGGCAATTTCATCTTCACCTCGATCTAGTATATCCCCAAGTTGAACCAACACCTAGTGCATGGAGGAAAAAAAAAATTCATGTTAGAATCTCTCAATTCTATGATATTCCTTTTTTTCTTCTTTTTTTCTACTTCTGCAAGAAGTGCAGATAGTAGAATACAATAAAGATTCAAAAATTTCATCTGCACAAGTTTGAGCATTTCATAAACTAAACATACAGTTTCTCCACCAGTCCACAAGTCTTGACCATCAGAGCTCAATACACCAGCCATTTCAAGAGCAGACCTAGTTTGCTTAAGATCTCCATGTAGATCTCCAACTACCCAAGAAAATTAGCTTCAATAAGACATAAATAAAACATAACATGCAACAAATATCAAAACAAGGTTAGAAAATGATAAGAACGAACATCAACAGGACAGTGAATTAATCACACGACACCATTCAGCACAAAGAAACTCTTCAACACTTTGATTTTGAGAATTTATATTAAAGTTCTACAATCTAAGGCTATAAAATAGAGAACAAATTCATACTACAAAAGTCAACAAAAACAATTAGTGGCATTTCGGAATTTGGGATACAGGAATAATAGGATCCATCAAGAAACTCTGAAAACTGAGAGTGATACGCTTTAGATTTCATAATAAAATTCCAAAAAACAAAGATGTGGAAACATCATATTGTTAGAGGTCAACAACACTTCAAAACTTAACCCGGAGATTCATTAAGCGGCATTTATAAGTTTGTAACATAGTCCATATGATCCATATTCCGAGACCAATACATTAGGATGAAAATTCTTTCTAATAATATTTATTTTTCCCTACACAATACAGAAACAAGATTAAACACAAAAAACATACATACTTAATGGAACTTAGCAGTTCACCCTCAAACCAATACAAGTCGATATATAATCCACATTCTAACCACTCCAAGCATTCAATCAAAATTATATACTTTAAACACGACTACAGAGGGAAGCTTGTACATTCTTTTTCTTTTGTTTACAGTAACAATAACAAAACAACAACCCATCTATTCAGGGCTCTGCTAAGCATACAAAACCAAATAGATTCCACAAAAACAAAGTAGGAATTAGAAAAGCAAACCAGCAAGAATTCTGCGATCAGGAGCAGAAACAAAAGTTGGGGGATCTCCACTGACAACAATGGGTTTCAAGGCACTGTGATTGTTGTTGTTATCAAGAAGCAAAGAAGGATAAGAAGAAGAAGAAAGATAAGTTTCTGTTGGCTTGCGAGGAAGAGAAGATGGTGGAACTGGAAATGAGTTTAAACACAGTGATGCCATAGGATGGGAAGATCATTTGGTAGTTGGTGTGTTATGTTGCCATTGATCACAGAGCTAATGAAACCAGAAAAAAAGACACTGTTTTCTGTCACACAAAAATCCTCAACCAAGCATTTGGTATACGTGAGAACTAAGAGAAGATAAAGATAGCATTTTATCGTCGTTCCTTCCTAGCTTCATATTTTTATTTTTTTATTTTTTGTTTAACACACAGAAAAAATGGGTCTGTGTTTATTCAGTTTTTAACAATTATTTTCTAAAACATAAATAAATATACTCAATATATTTTTTGTTCTATATTTTTTATTTAATTTTAATTTTATATTTTAAAATTAATAAGTTAATTAAAATATTTAATATTTTTTATTAATTAAATGACTAATTCAATAATTTAAAAATATAGAGATTAAAATTGGATTTGAGAAAAATTATACGAACTGAAACATATATGTTTTAAACTTATTTAGATATTAGAAACAAATAAAAAATAAAAAAAATATCTTTTTTATTTTATTTTAAATAATGTAATTGTAGCTCTGTTTTTCTTAAGGAAACAGAAATAAACATTTGGGACAAATCAATTACAATTTCTGTACTCAAAAACAAAAACAAAAACAAAAATTCAACACCGTATAAATCATCAGAATCAAATCAAATTTCATAACAGGTTAATATATAAATGAGTTAATTGATATGCACAGTGTAAATTTACTTTATAGAATAAATTACAAATTACAAATTACAACTATTAATCATAAAAGTAATAGTAATTGCAATTTTTAATGAATCATAATAGCTTATGAATTCACTTATTTTTTGAAGTATAATCTTTCATTTTAGAATAACTAAATTGCATTATAGTATTATTTTAAAAATAATTGATTATACTAATTTCTTTTGTATTTTAGTATTATTTTATTAAAACAGAAGATATTAGTATCAATGAAAAAAATGTGTGGGTATCATTTGATATAATTTTAGGAGAGGCAAGTGTAATTTTCTTAAAAAAAGAAAATCAATTTTAGAAAGATAAAAAAAAATACCAAAGAAAAGTTTACTCATTTGGCAACTACTAAAAACATATTTATTTATTTTTTTATAAATCATAGAATAAATATTTATATTAATTTGTGTGGGTGTCCAGTAATGACTAAGATGATCAAACTTATTATAATAACCCATTGTATAGAGAACCTACAAATCCTCCATTAATAACACGACCAATTTGGTTTTAGTTATTTGTACTATTTATAAGAAATGAAGTTTTTTTCTATGAAATTATTGGCTACAAAATTGCACAACCTAACACGCTTGACCCACTAATGAAAGCCACAATATTTTTTAGCCCAAACTATTTAGAGCTTAATTGGGTAATATGTAGAAAACAATTCCTCACACTATGGTTGAAATTAACCTAGACATATATTTCAACTACATTTAACAATATAAAGTGTCAATGAATGTTTTAGAGTCGAATCAATCTTTGTAAGTATAGTATTTATCTAACGAAAATTAAACTGTCACATAATTTTGTGTTATTTTAAAGTATTGATGTATCAACATAGTATATTTAGAATCAATTTCAAAACTAGTTTCACTATAATATAATGCTACAAATTACATAATCATCCACCCTTCAAAAAGATGAATTGTCTAGATTCATATCCTGTGATTAAAAAACACAGTTCAAAACATGGTAAAACTTAATTCTTGGCTTTTACTATCAATATATTTGAAAATGGATCCAGCAAGAGAGTGCGGGCACAAAGACTATAAAAGAAAGGACAAAACTTACATTATAATAATAGGTGATATTATTCTTCAATCATATTTAAAGTTTTATTTCAATAATTTGCATCATATTGAATATATTATATAAGAATAACATAAAATACTAAACATAATTAGAAAATTACTCATCAGTAATTGTTGAGTTCTCTGGCTTATACGAGTTTTCTCCAAAAGGAGATTGAAGGATTAAAATATAACCAACTTTCTTACTCTGGCTTGGCACCATGTAATATCTGTGAAAGAAAAGCATTGATATCAGTTTCTGATGACCCCCCACTTGCAATTGCACTGTGGCATAACAGCTTCAACTCTCTGCTTCTTTTCCTCATATCCCTCACTTCATCACTACCCACATCCATAAATTTTCTTATTAGCCTACAAATTTCATCTTTTCTTATCAAAGTGTCCTTTTTAACCTCATTCTTCACCCTCCACCCCACCTTCCATTCCTCTACAATCAACTTACCATTAAGGGGTTGGTCCATAAATATAGGCAATGCCAAAAAAGGAACACCACTGAAAGCACCTTCTCTAGTAGAATTCCACCCACAATGAGACCAAAACCCCCCAATGGCAGGGTGCTGCAACACCCTCCATTGATCACACCATGGCAAAACTAGTCCCCTATCCCCACACAACTCTTTCAACCTACCATTTTCTGTGGGTTGTACCCACAAGAACCGAACACCACTATCACCCACACCAGCTGCAATTTCATCAAATTGTTCATTAGAAACAGACAGAAAGCTCCCTTGAGAAATGTACAACACAGATGCAGAGGGTTGGTTGTCAAGCCACTGAAAGTAGCCATGTTTAGAGGCATCAATGTGGCCATTATCATAACAAGGTATGGCAGGGCCTACACTGTAAACGGGTATAGAGAACTCTGCTTTCAAAGCATCAATAGCACGAGGCTCAAGTTCGTATATGGAGGGGAATAACAAGTACTGCGCTTTCTGCACCCACGTTATAACATTCAAGGCCAATTCCAACAATCTTCGACTACGCCAAGTTTCATCATTAAGCGGAAAATCTGCCAGACGAATTGATGAGTTTCCCGGAATATAATCCACACGTTTCTCACCATCTTCTGCCACAAATATTTTACTTTTTAGTTAGGCTTCAAATATCACATCTAAGCAAAGATATTTAACAAATAATATACACTCAAATTATCCTGGTTATTAATATTTATTTATTTTAATTACTTGTCCCTATAACAATTCCTCCTTTTAGTTGAAGATAATTTTAAATAATTAAAACAAGAAACATTATAAACTGGGTCTTAAAAGAACTTCTTTGGATCTTACTATAATAGGAATGAAAAAGCCTACATGCACTCACATTATAACGCAGTAGATAACAAACTATCTAAGATAATTTAAAATATGTATTTGAATCATGAAAGTCTATGTTTATCTATTTATTACTGATGCTAGCTAAATATTTGAAGGAAGGTACTTCATTTTCCTACATGAATTTGCTAATGAAGAAATTTTACTTGGGTCAGGTAAAACTATTATCAGTGAGAGAGCAGTAATGTGTCAGTAAGAGTGGTTAAATACTGCAATTTAATTCTTGTTGAGAGATTGGTAAGTGAACCTATCGAACAGTTATAATAATTTTCAAACACTGAAACTTACATGGTTTTGTGAGCGTAACTGACCTGATACGTTTACAGGGTAGTGGCCGTTTCGCTGGAGAAGATGGTAGTGTTTGAGCACGGCGAAAATCGACGTGGACATTGGCCAAAACGACGCAACGGGAATGTTTCTAGCGTTGGCGACGCGAACCACCCAGAACAGGAAAGTGTCGTATATGATTACTGTTGGCGGCGCGTGAAGGCGGCTGAGTAAGTCTTCAAAGGGGGCTTCCATTTTGGTCATAACGGATTCAAGGAACGTCACGAAGTCGTTGGCTCGACCCTGTTCGGAGGGAATAACGTTGGGGATTGCGGCAAATCGGATGTTGTCGGGTTTGGAGTCGGAGGCAATGAAGCCTAGCCATTCTTCGGTGACGACGAAGGTTACGACGATGTCGGAGTTTTTGGAGAGGAACAACTTGCAGAGGTTCATCATGGGATTCACGTGACCTCGCCCTGGATACGGCACTGCTACCACGTGGCAGGCCATGGTTGGTGGAGCTTGAACTGGATGCGGCGCAGAGATAAGATAAGGGCAGTGCTTAGAAGAGTGAGAAGAGATGAAGCAGAAGCAAATATGTAGTCGAAGCAGACGGTGGAAAAATCCTCTTTTTCATTGCCTAACTCTTTTCCTTCCAGTGTGGAACGCTCCAACTTGTATCAACTTATTACCCTAACGTTGTTCCTACCTAACGTCACTTTTTAACTACCACTGTTGTAAAATATATTAAACAAATTTTTAACTGTAAGAAAATAATTCTATTTTTTTTCTCTAAATCATGTTGATATAATTAAAATCAATCACGGAATTTACAATTTAAATTAATTTTATGGCAAAAATAGCATAATTATTGCTATGAATTGCACTAGAAAGCGAAAGATAGCTACCATTGAGAAATGCACAACAGAAAGACACGAAAACCATTGAAAGTAGGCATGTTTAGAGAATATATTTTGAAATCATTAGTTCTTACATGTAGCATACTGGAAAAAGATGATTGTTCATCAAATTATCTATTTTTAGATATCTTTTATCGTGTATGATAATAATTTCATCAAAATGTTTACTATATTGATCATTAGACAATAGTTTATTTTTAACATTTTCATATTTGTTAATATGATTTTAGGTAAATATTATTTTTTAAATTAATTTGAAATAGTATGAAAATATGATTTTAGTATAGTTTAATTTGTTAACGTAATTGGTAATTTCGATTTTTTTAAATATTAAATATAGAATTGTGTTTACATGGTTTATTAATTTAAAATGGATTTTATTTTTACTTAAATTATTAGTAATATGTTAATTTATAAAAATATGAGAAAGATGATATGGTAATAATAAAACCATCTACAAATTAATTATGCATAAAAAAAGATATTTCAATTTAGTAAAGATATTTCGTTATTTATATAAATAATTACTATTATTGTAAAATCTTAAATTCTCTAAATTTATTTGATATTCATCTATTTCATTATATATAGGCTACTAGTAGTTGACTTTTTAAAATTAATTTATTTTTAATAATTGAGTAAAAAACATAAATTTATAAGTTTTTAACATTTAAAAAAATATACATAAAAACTAAAATAAAATAATTTATTATTAATTTGTTTTAACTGGATAGATTTTCTAATTCTTTGATTCATTCGTTTTTTAATAGCTTTGTGATTTTTTTTAACTCATTACCTGGTTGCTAATGATAAAATGTTCAAACCTTTTTCTTTTTTTTTCACTTTTGAATGGATCTAAATAACATGTAATAAGAACTTAAATTTGTTTTCATTGGGACTGTATAATTTGAAGGAATTGCTATTTTTATATATTTTATTCTAATTTAAAATGTTTTCTTTCTTCATTTTTCATTGACAACTCTCATCATCTCTAGCCTGAACCCCTTCTCTTTCTTCCTCACATTTTTGGTGATGGAGGTTGGATTATAGGTTTCATGTGGCACTGGGGAGTGATGCAACTCCAATATTTATGTATTGTTAAAATTATTTTCTAATAATATTGTTTGCGGGTTTAGAAGAATAGATGTTAATAAGACAAATGATATGTAGACCATTGTTCTCCCATGAGTGTAAGAACCTGTTCTTATTACAGAATTCACCTTAAAAACCTCTATTAATAAGGGACAAACTTGTCTATATATATTTCAGTAACGTGCGTTTCACTTCTTACTATTATTAATATATTTTGACACCTCCAAATTCAAATAACTCCTCTTACAATCCTTTTCTATTAATATAATAATGATAAAAATATTTAATAAAAATAAAATTTAATTAAAATTATTATTGTAATATTAAAAGTGGATTATTTTTAAAATTATATGAATTTTGGTTATCAAAATATGATTTTTGTTTCAAAAACATCTAACCACTCAAAATATTATTATATTATTATTATTTATGGTAGGTTCTTGCACCAAAATGGTACAATTTTCAACACGCTTCAACTACTCAGTGAGGACCATCTTCATACACAGAAGTTCTTGTTGTGAGAAAATTAGATGAGAACAAAGTCGTTTGTCAAGTCTCTGTCGTATTAATCGAGGACTCTTCTTCATGAGAAAACCTTCACAGTCCACAAGTGTTTTTCTTTGAAACGTGTAGGGTATTGCTTGGAATTCATTTTTCAAGCATTGACTAATCAAAGTAAGTGGTTTCTCTCATTCAAAATGGAGGCTCTCTGTTTTCTGGCGAATGGCCGAGTGCACACCTTCCCATCTTACTTGAGAAAGAATATGATGGCGCGGCTCAACCTAATTCTAATGTGGCTGAAGAAACCAAAGGTATTAAGTAGACTTATATGTGTTCCTTTATCTGTTGTTGGACTGGTCTGTTTTGCACTCAGTTCCTCTTCCAACCATTTGCTGGGAAAGTGGAGTTGGTGGAAGATGCTTCTTTACACTGTTATCAGTTTCATCGTTTGCCTTGCCGTCTTGTTCACACCGGCAAGGTCCGGCTCCACCTCTCCCCGGATGGAAGTTAACTTGGCATTTTTGGTTCTCATAATCACTTCTGTTTATTCCTTTTGGTACGATAACTTGGTGAAAGGTAAACCAGATGCATATAGCCTCATCTCTTGTGCTGCTTTTGCTACCATGTCTCTTGGCTTGTCAAAACTGACTCAATTTGGATACCAGATTGATCTACTATATTTCTTCTGTGCAACTCTAGTAGTACAACTCATGAAGATCAATTTGTGGTTAGCCATTGTTGGAGGGGGTTTTAGTTATTCCCTCATTTCCCTCATTTCGCCTCGTGGCGATGACCCACAAGGGGAGAATCTTCGACTCCGGGTCCAAAATCATGTAACCATTCAAGTTGATCCAGATAGTGCAAGTAGTAGCAGTGTAGATGTTATCACGCCACAACAAGCTAACGCTGAAGTTGATAGTACTCTAGGTTCCTCAACAGAAAATGGGCATCTTACATTCCAAGATCATCAAGTAACTCAAAGTAATTCACATGCACAAGATGGAAACGTTGATGATGGTCATATTATCCGACTACAACTCATGGATTGTATAAAGGAGCTGGAGAAGGAGAATCAAGTGGTTGTTCCAATGGTTTCTAGTCACGTGGACAGATACCTTAAAACCATGTTTAACTCCAAAGATAAAGACAAGAACCGGATTCCAACGAAGCAAGTACCGGATGTCGACGTCAACTTGGTGATGGATGCACTTCCATCAGGAATTATGAAACGCCTTCAGGAAACCGTGAAGCTAATGATGGAAGCAGGGTTTGAGGAGGAATGCAGCGACGTTTACAGCAAATGGCGAAGGGAGTTTGTAGAACAGTGTCATTGGGCACTTGGGTTGCAATTTCAAGAGCCCAACATGGAAGACGTTGAGAAATGGATAAAAATGTGCGAGGTAGCTGGGAAGATACTGTTTCCCATTGAAAGGAGACTCTGCGATTACCTCTTCTCGGGGTTCCCTCTCGCTGCTGATGCCTACCTCCCGAAGGTTTGCAAGCAGTTGACGATTGGTCTACTGAGTTTTGTGGATACCGCCATAACAGCTCGGAGTTATTTGCCAAATTTTTTGTTCAACATCGTCCCAAAAATGTACGAGTCATTGACCGCGATGTCAAAGGAGTGCATCTCACTGAATTTGTTTGAGCTGTCGATTCTAGATTATTTTCGAGACGTTTTGGAAAGATTGGATATTTTAAACAACTTTGCGAATCTTTTTCACCGTAATAATGCGCGGGCACATGTTGCCGATGGAGGGCTTCATCTGATTACCAAGCAAGTAATGAACTACATCCTTATGATTTGGGAAGACAAAATATGGAGGGCTCCCCAATCTTACCGCATCGTCTCTGGTAGAGAGAAGTCTTCACTTTGGATGCTGACAGCGCGGACGATTGGGTTTTTGGAGAGCGAGTTGGAAGCCAAGTCTAGAGACTACTACGCGGACCCTGCATTGGGGTACCTTTTTATGATAAAAAATCTCAGCTACATAGGAGAAAAGGCCAAATATTTGAAATTAAATGTTGACAGAATCATATTGGACGATGATTGGTTCCAACAAAACACGGCAAAGGTAGAAGAATACTTCAGCCTGTATCTAGAAAGCTCGTGGAATAAGATGCTGGACTTTCTGAAGCTTGAGACAAATGAGTCCGTGGCACCTGGTGTGGTAGAGAAGTTAATGAAAGATAGGCTCCATTTTTTCAACCTACATTTTGATGAGACATGCAACGTTCAATCTACATGGATTGTCTCTGATAAGACACTAAGGGAACGAATGATAAAATCCATTCACACCATCTTGTTGCCAGAATATGGAAGATTTTATGACAGATTTCTACATGTTTTTGGTGATCGTGCTTGTAACTATGTTCTGTTCCGAGCTGATGAGATTGAAAATCGTGTCAGTAATTTGTTTCTTCTACATGAGTAGATGACTATACATCCAAAATCAATTTTAGAGTTCTCACAAAAGAAAAAGTTTGATGTACACACATGATAAACAGAAATATATACAGAAAGAAAGAGAAAAATGTTATATATTTAGAAAATATATATGTATAAGCCTTCAATCAACTTATTAACTTATTAATCTAACGCTGCTCCTAATGTCACTTATAACTACTACTATTGTAAAAAAATATTAGCCAAAATTTTAATTGTAAAAATATAATTTTATTTTTTTAAAATCATGTTCATTTTATTAATAAAAATTATAATTAAAATCAAGCAACGAAATTAACAATTTAAATGATAATAATTTCATAAAAATGTTTACTATTGATCATCAGACAATAGTTTTTTTTTTTAACATTTTAATTTTATCTATATTTATTATTTTTGCGTCATATTGCTTGTGCCATTTCTTACTTTTACTCCTTTTCTTTTTAGAGTTTTATAAGTAAGTATGTATTATTATTTTACAAAAATAATCAATGAAAAACTTTTAGTATAACTTTCTAACAGTCTCACGAAAGTTAAAAGAATTTTACATGTATAAAGTTAAAAGAATATATTTGTTTATAAATAAATGATAACATAAAATATTTTTATTTCTTTACCGTATCTTTAATAATTCATACTTTATTTTATTTTATTTTTCTATTACATAATTATTATACGTGCTATTTTTTCTTTATCCTATTTATCTCTCTCTTTTTTATATAGATATTTTTTATATTATAAGTTTTAATGAAATCATGTTTCTAAACTCGATATATTTTTTTAAAATTAAATAAAAAAATTTAGATAAAAATTATTCTAACGAAAATATGATTTCAAGTAAATATTTTTTTAAAATTAAATTAAAAGAGTATGAAAAATATGCTTCTTAGTATAGTTTTTTTTTAAACCTAAATGGTAATTTATATTTTTTTAAATATTAAATATATAAATTTGTGTTTGCCATGATATTTCTATTTTTTTTAATTTAAAATGAGTTTTATTTTAACTTAAATTATTAGTAATACATTAATTTATAAAAAATAGGAGGAAGATAATATGTTAATAATAAAACGATAAAAGAGTAAGAATTAATAAAGATAAAAAATGTTTACAAATTCGTTAAGATATTATATTTCATTATTTATATTTTTTAGATACTCAACACTCTGCTTCTTCCTTTTTTAACATAATCAACACGCTCTACCTTACTTATTTTTCCTTTATTCCCCGTCCACGAGTGTTTTTCTTTGAAGGTTCGGGGAACCCCCAACAGAGCAACGTGTGGGGTCTATTGCTTGGAACGCTATATTCAATCATCTAAAAATGAAAAGCTCTGTTTTTTGGCGAATGGCTAAGTGTAAACCTTGCCATCTTATCTTAGAAAGAATACGATGGCCATGCTCGACCAAATTCTAAGATGGCTGGAGAAACCAAAGGTATTATGGAGACTTGTATCTGTTACTTCATCTGTTGTTGGACTGATCTGTTATGCACTCAGTTCCTCCTTCAACCATTTGCTAGGGAAGTGGAGTTGGTGGAAGATGCTTCTCTACATTGTTATCAGTTTCATCATTTGCCTTGTCGTCGTCTTGCTCACGAAGGCAAGATCCGGCTCTACCTCTCCCCGGCTGGAAGATAATCTGGCATTTTTGGTTCTCATAATCACTTCTGTTTATTCCTTTTGGTACGATAACTTGGTGAAGGGTAAACCAGATGCATATAGCCTCATCTCTTGTGCTGCTTTTGCTACCATGTCTCTTGGCTTGTCAAAACTGACTCAATTTGGATATGAGATTGGTCTACTATATTTCTTCTGTGGAACACTAATAGTTCAACAGTTGAAGATCAAATGGTGGTTAGCCATTGTTGGAGGGGGTTTCAGTTATTCCCTCATTTCTCTCATTTCGCCTCCTGACCATGACACACCGGGGGAGAATCTTCAACCCCGGGTCCAAAATCATACAACCATTCAAATTGATCCAGATAGTGCAAGTAATGGTTTCACGCCACCACAACAAGTTAATGCTGAAGCAGATAGCACTCTAGGTACCCCACCAGAAAATAGGGATCTTAGTTTCCAAGATCATCTAGTAACTCAAAGCAATTCACATTCACAAGATGGAAACGTTGATGATGGTCATATTATCCGACTACAACTCATGGATTGTATAAAGGAGCTGGAGAAGGAGAATCAAGTGGTTGTTCTAATTGTTTCTAGTCACGTGGACAAATACCTTAAAACCATGTTTAACTCCAAAGATAAAGACAAGAACCAGATTCCAACGAAGCAAGTACCGGATGTTGACGTCAACTTGGTGATGGATGCACTTCCATCAGGAATTATGAAACGCCTTCAGGAAACCGTGAAGCTAATGATGGAAGCAGGGTTTGAGGAAGAATGCAGCGACATTTACTGCAAATGGCGAAGGGAGTTTGTAGAACAGTGTCATTGGGCACTTGGGTTGCAATTTCAAGAGCCCAACATGGAAGACGTTGAGAAGTGGATAAAGACGTGCGAGGTAGCTGGGAAGATACTGTTTCCCATTGAAAGGAGACTCTGCGATTACCTCTTCTCGGGGTTCCCTCTCGCTGCTGATGCCTCCTCCATGAAGGTTTGCAAGGAGTTGACGATTTGCCTACTGAGTTTTGCTGATACCGCCATAGCAGCTTGGTTGCCGAATCTTTTGCTCGAAGTCGTCCCTAAAATGTACGCGTCATTGAGGACGCTGAAATGGGATTTGATGTCGCTGAATTTGTTAGGCAACAGTGTTTTGCTCCTAGATTGTTTTGAAGACGTTACGGAAAGATTGGTTATTTTAAAGAATGTAACAAATTTTTTTCACCGTAATAATGAGCAGGCACATGTTGCCTATGGAGGGCTTCATCTGGTTACCAAGCAATTAATGAACTACATTTGTCAAGGTATGATAAAGTCCGCTTCCGGAGCTTCCGGCATCGTTCCTCATAGAGAGGTAAAGTCTTCATATTGGGTGCTGCCAGCAAGGATGATTGAGTTGTTTGAAAGCGCCTTGGAAGCCAAGTCTAGAGACTACTACACTGACCCTGCAATGGGCTATGTCTTTATGATGGATAATCTCAGCTACATAGGAGAAAAGGCGAAATATGTGAAACCATATAAGGACGGAATCATATTCGACGATGGTTGGTTCCAACAAAACACAGCAAAAGTGGAAGAATACTTTAACCTGTATCTTAAAAGCTCGTGGAAAAAGATACTGGACTTTCTGAAGCTTGAGACAAATGAGTCGGTGGCACCTGGCGTGGTAGAGAAGCTTGAGACAAAAGATAAGCTCCGTTTGTTCAACCTTCACTTCGAAGAGACATGCAACCTTCAATCTACATGGATTGTCTCTGATAAGAGACTAAGGGAATGGATGATAAAATCCGTTCACAGCATCTTGTTGCCAGAATATGGAAGATTTTATGACAGGTTTCTACGTGATTTTGGTGAGTGTGCTTCTAACTATATTCTGTTTGGAATTGAGGAGATTCAAAATTGTCTCAGTAATTTGTTTCTTCTAGATGAGTAGATGACTACAGATCTGAACTCAACTTTGTTGGAGTTTCCAATAAATTAGGCCTCCAATCAAAGTTAAGGGTATGAGTGTTCAATTAGCATTATGGGGATTGTTGCATATAAAATAATATTCTAGTTCTTATATATTGCAATATATCTAATAATGTGTTTGGTTAACATTATGAGGATTGTTGCACATAAAATAATATTCTAGTTCTTATATATTGCAATATATCTAATAATGGATGGGAATGAAAGTATAAAGTTTGCATGGATTTAGAATACAAAAACTTCATTGTGACAAGTGCGGTGTTACAAAATATGTTTTATTGTTTCTCTTTAATTTTAACTACTATTTCCTTTGAACCATTTAATTCCAAACATTTTCTCTGTGATTGATCTTACTAAAATTATACTTGTAAAGAGTCACTCGATCCTTGAAAATACTTGGAATTAACCTGTATTAGTTTTTCCTTGCAACAGTTACACTTTGCTTATGTCTCATCACTTTGTTAGTTTGTCGTGTACATTCATCTTTTGCAACAATTTCAAAAAGAATTATGTATATGTGGAGTTAGGTCTTGTAGCTAATTGGAAATAACATGACTAACGATGGTGAAATTTAACTAGAAAAAATGTTGCTAAACAAATATAGTTGAAATCGGAAACAAGTGCATAAATGATCTACTATGTGTTTACTGCATTAATGTTTATCTGCATTAAATCCCTAAGAAAGGCATGTAAATGAGTAACAGCTGACCCACCATTAGAAATTGCTCGAAGACATATCTGCTGAAGAGTTTTGGATCTTTCCCTGATTTCCCTTGCAAGCTCAGTGTCCAAATCCATAAACTTTTGCAGAAGCATTACAATTTCATCCTTCTTTACCAAACTCTTCACTTTAACGTCTTCCTTCACCCTCCACCCAACCTTCCAATCCTCTACTATCATCTTACTGTCCAATGGTTGGTCCATAATTATTGGAAAGGTCAAAAACGGAACCCCAGCAAGAACACCTTCTTTTGTGGAATTCCACCCACAATGGGACCAAAACCCTCCAATAGAAGGATGAGACAACACTCTCAACTGGTCACACCATGTCACAACTAATCCACTGTGCCCACATATTTCTTTCAACCTTGAAGTCTCACTACGGGCTACCCACAAGAACCGAGTGCCACTTTCCCGCAGAGCAAATGCAATCTCATCAATTTGAGGTCTTGAAACCGAGAAATGGCTCCCTTGTGAGATGAAAAGAACAGAACCCACAGGTTGGGCATCTAGCCACTCCAAGTAGCCATGACTGGTGCCATTGTTAGTGGTCAAAGTGGGAGTGTTTTGGAGGCTAGGTGTGACTGGACCGATGGTGTATACGGGCAAGGGCAACTCTTCTTTTAGGACATCAATGGCTTCAGGTTCGAGCTCGTAAATGGAAGTGAATAAAAGATATTGTGCTTTGGAAACCCATGCGAAACCTTTTAGGGATAACTGCATCGTTTGCGTACTGGACCAACTTCCATCGTTTAGCGGAAAATCGGCGAGGCGCATTGGGGAAATTCCAGGAATATAATCCACACGTTTCTCACCATCCTCTGATTTGCATCAGTTAAAAAAATTCCATAACATGTTTGCAAATATCAGAACTGGAATTTCAAATAATTTTTTGAATCTGAATCAAAGAGATAGTCTTAGAAGTTTTTTGTTTTTTTTTTTAAATTATTATATTACTGAATTATAATTATACATTATAATAACTATTTATGTTAAATACAAATAAACTTAAAAAAAAATGAGAATATGAGTGTATTTTTCACTTAATTTATTTTATTACTCTTCAATACAACAATCTTCGTTTGCACTCATTTTCAATCTTTTTCTTTTCATTTTTTTTCCTTCAGAGTCATTTTTTTTTTTCTTTAACAAATAGAGTAAAAGTTTATATGCTTTATGAAAACAAATAAGGATAATAATAACTAAAAAAGAATAAAATGAAATTTACTTAACATTTTTAACAAAACAAAAACAACAGAAGTATAAGCATAGTAGTAAACTAAAATAAATTTTGTAATAATCAAACTGTAAACTAACTTGCAAACACGAATGTATGAGTTGAGGTTCAATAATTGCAGTGTGATGTTGATTACCTGACAAATTGACAGGGTAATGACCATTTTCTTTCAGAAAGTGATGGTGGTAGAGCACAGAGAAAATAGAGGCGGACATGGTCCAAAACGACGCTACCGGAATATTCCTTCGGATTCCAACGACCAACGCCCAGTACAAAAAGGTGTCAGCTACGATGGCCGTAGGTGGCGGCTGAAGGCGGTGGAGCAACTCCTCGAAGGGCGCCTCCATTTTGGTCATGACAGCTTCCATGAAGCCGAGGTGGTCGTTTGCGCGAGCATGTTCGGACGGTACCACATTGGGGATTGAGCGGAGAACGATGTTGTCGGGTTTAGGGTCGGAGGCGATGAAGGCGAGCCATTCCTCGGTGACGACGAAGGTTACTAGGATTCCGGTGTTGTTGGGGACAAGTAGCTTGCAAAAGTTGATCATGGGGTTTATGTGGCCGCGTGCAGGGTAGGGCATGGCCACGAGGTGGCAGGGACTAGTTGATGGAGGTGAAGGAGATTCCATGGGAGTTAGGGGTTGGAGAAACGGTAATGTTTTGGAAGAAGATGCAAGTTCAAACTTTCAAAGCACGTTGTAACGCGGGCACCATCTCTCCACAAGTTAGTCTTACTCACTCTTTTTACCACACATTAGAGCATCACTGAGAGAAGCCTTTAGGTCCAACACTCTTGTAAGATCTAAAAAGTTTATTAGAGGAGGTGTTGTCTTTATTTGCAAATCATCTAAACATTAAGAGCTCTTTTATACTTAAGTTTGGTATTCAAGTTTGAGTAATATAAATATTTTCTCTTCAAATTCTTTTTTATTTCACTTTCTCTCATTAAAACTCTTGCACACCTTGCACACCAAACACGATCCAAATAAGATGAGTTAACTAGTTGTAAGTACTCACGATAGAGAAAGGCCACACACAACCACCATGTGACAACGTGCTTTGATATTTTTGTGTTCAGAAAATGATGCCACATGGTAGGCCTCACTACCACAAAGGCCAAGAAGGTTGTCTTTCTTTCTTTCGTATTCAATAGGCTTTGGTTGTTTATTTATTTAATTATTTTTAACTTATTATCTTATTTAAGAAAATATATATTGTGAAAAGAGTTGGCTATTGTGGAAATAAAAGATGTTTATTATCCCTTTCTTTTTCATATGGTTGGCTATTGTGAAATAAAAGATTAAGTAATACAAGTCTGTGTTGAATATTATCTTCTTCATCCATTGCTTGAGTATATTACAAAAATGAGTCAAATTATATCTAATTTTTAACATACTTTTAGTGTCATGCTTGAATTAAAGATTTACATCATTAAATTATGCAATTCAAGTTAACATTTGCATATTTACTCTGGCACCTTAGACAACTTTGGGGAGATGTGATTTTGGACAAGTTAACAAATTTTAATCAGATTTCAGTTCCATTTAAGATTGAAAGTCAGATTAGTTTGAGATAAAACTTCGGAACACTACTGTATGCATGGACAAAAAAACAAAAATCAAACAAGCTACATAAAATTCAAGTTCTAGATATGGGTGTTATTTTAGCTAATAAAAGATAACAGTTTAACAACTGAAAAAGAATTTGAAGGAATGGAAAAGGTATATATATGTAGTGATGGATGTAAGAGGCGGAAGGTGCAAGTGTGAAACTTAAGAATTATCCATGCTTACAGTGTTACGTACATCCTTACATGCAAATAAATATCCAACCCTTTATTCATTTAATACATAGCAGCATTGTTGTGTTATTGAGCCCAAGCTTCTCAGTGCGTCAGAGTTTTGAAATGTCTCTAATAAATGCATCAAGGTTCCCATCTGAGGACCCACCTGTGCCAATAGCTCTGTGACACATAGCCTTTATTTCCCTTGCTCTGCGTCTGATCTGCTTTCCATCTTGGCTTTCAAGATCCATAAACCTCCTAACCAGTTTTTCTATCTTTTCTTTTGCCACAATCTCTTCGCTGTCCAACTTTGATGTCTCTAGTTCAACCTTACACCCATTCTTCCACTCATCTACAATCTGGCTGCTATTTGGAACTTGATCCAAGAAAAGAGGGAATGTGAGCATTGGTGCCCCAGCAAAGAGAGCTTCCAGAATGGAATTCCATCCACAATGGCTCCAAAATCCACCTATGGAAGAATGGGACAACACCTTCAATTGGTCACACCATGGAACCACCATACCATTATCTCCACACTTGTCTTTCAACCAAGAAGCATCCGCTCTAGCCACCCAAAGGTATCGAACGTTGCTGTTGTTTAGTGCTTCAACAATTTGATCCATTTGGGCTCTGGAAGCTGAAAGGAAACTACCCAAAGAAATGTACAAAACTGATTCAGGTGGTTGAGAATCTAGCCATTTTACGTAGTCATGGTTGAGATCATTGTTCACGGATGAAGGGTTGTCTCCTAATTCTAAATATGGTATAGCAGGGCCAATAGGATAGACTGGAAAGGGAAATATAGCTTTTAAGGATTCAATTGTTTCGGCTTCCATTTCATGGACTGTGGTGAGTAAAAGATAATTTGCTTTGGGAACCTTCGAAATACATTCCAATGCAAGCTGCAGGACTCGTTGATCATTTTCCCGAAGCACAGTTTGAAGGTCTGCCAAATGAGGTGAAGAAATTCCCGGAATGTTCTCTACTTCTCCATCTGCATCATTTATAAAACCACAGATAAGACATGCACCTATATGTATACAATTGCATTGCTCCTCTGTAGATAATATGCAATAAAAGTAGCCTTCATTTTTCAGACAATATAAGTTTTAATTTTTTAACATGGTTGATTAGAAATAACCTTAGATATTGCTTTTAAAATTAATATTATAAAGTTCAATAATTTTATCTTTTATGTGTAAAAATCTTTCATACATTCGAACAATTCTAATTGAAAAAACAGCACTAATATATATTTAGCAGTTAGCACCACTGGTTGATATTTGACCTTCAATTGACTCGATTTACCCAGTGTATTGGATTGAAGGTGAAACGAAAAAACTCAGAGTTCACAGAGAAGAAATAAAAGCAACAATCAAGAGGTAAAATTTAAAAACTCCCTTCTTCTTTTTTTCTTTTGCCTGGTACCACTGGCTATATAAATAAACACAATCAGATATAAAGAAGCAATATACCCAGAGTATCTTTATCAAAGATCAAACGCCGTTGGTGTGCAAAGACATCAAGGTGATGTAGCATGGAGTAAAACGACGCCGACATGGTCCAAAACGCAGCCAAGGGAATATTCCTTCGATTTGCCAGGGCGATGGGCCAACGTAGCTCAACGCAGCCGAGGATCGCGGTCGGCGGCGGCTCGAGCCGATCGAGGAGCCGGTCGAAGGGGGCTTCCATGTTGGTCATGCAGGCTTCGTAGAAGACGGGAAAGTTGGCAGCTTTCTGGCGCTCGGGAGGGACGACGTTGGGGATGGTGGCGAGGCGAATGGCATCCGGCTTGGGATCGGCACCGATGAAGCCGAACCACTCTTCAGTGACCACGAATGTTATGAGGATCTCCTGGGGTCTTTTCGATGCGAGGATCTTGCACAGGTTCATCATGGGGTTGATGTGGCCCCTCCCGGGAAACGGCATCGCCACCAGGTGGCACAAGCCGCTACCGCCGCCACCGGAATTATGCATAGCCGGAGAAGTTGGTGAGTGACAGTGGGTGTTGGTCTTGGTGTTTTTGTCTTTTTGATTGTTCTACCGTGTCGCATTCTTCTGGACTGCTACAGTATGCGGTATTAAACAACAACGTATTTTATTTGTTCTGAAAAGCACAGTAATCGTGTTAACGTGTTGGATTAAGATTACAATATTAGGTTTCTAATTAAGGTTTTGTATTAGAAAAACATAATTGGAATGGAAGTGTTCCGCTGTACACTCGCAACTTTCATGCTGTTAATTTATATATAACCTCTCGTTCAATTCATTGAAGTATTTTTTAACATTAAAATGTATTAAAGTTTTAACATAGTTGAGGAATGATATATTTATATCGTCCTTTATTTGTATAAAAAACGTTACAAGAAGTTAAGCACACAAAAATATACTCCACTTAGGCAAAAGTGAAATTTGGTTTTCCTTTTGAATTTAGGTTTTAAAGTTTTAATTTTTGTTCCAGAACAATGTTTTGGTTAAGAATTTCAAACTTTGTTAACAGACCATTAAGTGAATTTTGAAAAGGAGGGCTATTAAAGGAAAGCTGAAAATGACTTAGAAGAAAATATTCATTATAGTTATTTATATTTTTAATTGAAAAGTTGTATATAACCCAAATTTTAATTTTAAAAGTATTTAATATTTGTGCTTAAAAATTTCATAAGGAAATAAAATGTTATTATAAAATCAAACATTAATCTTCTTTTTTGTCTGAACATGTGTGATAATTTCCATGGGTTTACTCATGGGTTTGAGATTATCAATCCACGAATATAAGAAATGGTATCTATAGAGACACTTTAACACTCAAGTTATTACTTTTCAGGTTTTGTGAAAATAGAATAATAGCATTTTTTTAATCTTATTTGTATTTATATTATCATGACTAGGTTACATGGTTCAAATTTCTTAAGGTTTAATTATCCTGAAAATCATTATGATACATGAAAAATTACTTTAATTATAGTTTAGCTAGTGACAAACTAAGTCTCTACATTAAATAAATAAAGCATTCACCTAATAATAAAATAGATAGGAATACTGAATTTTAAGATGATGAAATAGATTGGTAATTTTAAACAAGTTGACCCATTAACTCAAATTTTAAAAATATTTATATACTAAAATCATAATTAAAAATATTAAATATATCAATATATTATAATATTATAATTTAAATTATAAATATTAACTCATTAAATTTAAATTATTAATTATTTTAACATTCAAATATTATAATAATTTATTAAATTTATCTAATAAAAATATTTATTAATAAATAAAAATTTAAAATTAATTTATATCATTAAAAGTATATTTATATATATATATATATAACAAATTTTATATAAAAATAATTTACAAGTTACAAATTCTAATATATTATACAAAATATAATATTTTTAATTATAATTTTTTATTTTAAAATTAATACATAAATATATTTTTAAAACATATTAATTTGTCTTTTATCTTGACATGCAAAATTAATGGTTATACAAGATGCGTCAAAATAAAATAATGGATTAAAATTTTCAATTTAAGCCGATCAACTTATTAAATCTAACCAATTTTAATATCTTTATTAACATATTAATCTCGAACCCGTTATTATCTGCATTTCAATTATAGATTTAAAAGTTAGTCTCTAAAATATTTATTTTAAAATAGTTTCTAGGATCTTAATTAAAATATTTCATTTTTTTGTCTCATTGTTTTAGCGTTTTGTCTAATTATAAGTTAAAAATATGTTTTGGTGTGAAATTTTACGTTATTCCTTCTTTCTTATTTTTTATAAAAATCCTCTTTTTCAATAATTTGTCTAATTAACTGATATTTTTGAGGAATTTCTTGTAACTTCTCTCGCTCAAAGTATCAGACGTAACACTCGCTTATTTGATAAGGTATGACGATTACCAACCATCAAGTAGAAGAGGAATAACTTCAAACTATTTTTAGATATAAACATGTAAATTAATCAAACATATATATATTTTAATTAGGAAAAAAATTAAACCTCTAAATAAAAAATATTTTTTATGATATAATAATAATAATTAGATATCCAAATATAACAAAGTTTGAAAAATAGATTAATACATGCTACTAAATTTGTGGTATAAACTGAATTAGATTTTTTTATCAGCTTATTTAAATCATAATTTACGTAAATTTAGATTACGTCCGTAGGTTTAATGTTATCATGTTTTATAAAATAATAATAATTTTAAATAAAAATAACTATAACATTATTTTATTAATATATATATATATATATAAATAATTTGATAAAAAATTTATTTATTTTAAAAATAAATATAAAAAGAAGTCTCTAACATTAATTTATTTTACAAATCTAACTTTTAGAGTAATAAATACTAAAAAAATACAAATGATGATAAAGAAAAATAATTTTTAATTCTTATTTTAAAATTAAATAAATATTTTCTTTTATAATTTATATATTAAATTAATATATTTAAATATAAATTAATTTTATTAATATAATTAAAATTTTACAAAATATATTTTTTAATTCTTATTTAATTTATTATTTTTATATAAATACATTAATAGTTTTTTAATTTTTAATCACATATTCTATTAACATTCACATATTGAACTAATATAGTTTGATGTTAAATAAAAAATTATAACTTATTTAAAATAGAAATAAGACGATGTCATTATTTTATTATTATTTTTTACTTTATTTATAAGTTTCGGTTAAGTTGGACTTATTTTAACAACTTTAATAATAGTAGTTGAAAAATTAACATTTAAATATATTTTAATTAAAAACATAATATGTTATCTAAATAAAAAAAATGTAGTTGTTTTTTAGCTTATTAAGGATTTTGCCTCTTTATTGAATATAGTTAACTACGTTAACTAACTTGTTTTTGAAATTTATCTCAAATTTTACCGAATTGCAAGCTTTAGATATATTTTTGGATATTACACGTATTTATGACGGTTATTAAATCATCATTATTGTAATATAAGTATAATTAATATAATAATAATTAAAAAAAAACCATGCTAATTACAATGTTGGCATGAAAATAACGAGTACTTTGAACTCATAAAGTAGATATAGTATAGTAGCCTATCAACTTGTAACTAGAATATACATATATTGAATTTTATAATTTTATAATAATAAAATTCATTTTTTTTATATTTTTTATAACAATTTAGTTCTATTAATGTAAGATTCTGAATCACCACCGTTAACACAAGTGTTCAAATAATAATTATATATTTAGTCATCAACATTAGTCATATCTCAATGATTCTATTACATTATTCTGATTTGATTGAAAAATAAATAAATTTCTGATAAAAAAATATTTTTATGAAAACTCAAATCATATCCAAAAATTTGACTTTCAGCTTATTAACAATGACTTCAAAATTGTGACCTTACATGAAGACTTTCCTATTTGCATTTATTTAAGCTTTGAAGGAATGCACTAAGGGTAGTTGGTTTACTATTTAAACAAATATTTTTAAAAACCCTTTTTTGTTTTTAAAATTAAAACACTTATATAATATTTGTTTTTGTTAAATTTTTAAAACTGAACAAAATCAAAAACTAATAAAAAAATGTGTTAATTTTTTGTTTTTATTAATAAATATAAATATTTGATCATTAGTTATATTAAATCACTATTTTTTATCATTTAAAAATTACCCATATTATATTTTTTTTCTAAAGTTACTCTTAAGAGTGAAATTATCAAATATTTTTTAATTTATTTTTAAAAATATTTTAATATTATTCTCTAAAACTTTTTTTTAAACTAAATCAAATACATCATAAATATCTCTATTTTTCTTTGTTTGATCGCTTCCAAATAAAAACCTAGTCAACCTTCTTTCCAACAAGTCAAAATAAGATATATATATATATATATATATATATATATATATATATATATTTTACAGTATAATATATTTTTTATCTAAGTCAATGTATAAAAAGATATTTCTTTTTGGTAACTGTTTTTTTATTATCCTTTAAAACTTACTATAGTAACTAAAATAATTAAAATTTGAATCATTATTAAATGAAAAATGAAGAATAATATTTTAGAAATAATATCATTAAATATATTTACTAAGAGATATTTATATCCAATGTCTAACAATTTTTTTGTGCGACATACTTTTTAACATAGAAGGAATCTATATTCATTACCACACGTTGTACTTTTGAACAAGTCAATATTTAGGAAGTACAATGAAAATATCTCCATCTACCTAAGCATAAATAACTCAGAAAAAAAAAAGTAGATTTTTTTGTCTAGTTCACTTGAAAAAAATTGCCAAAAATAAAATAACCCAAGTCCGGTTTACTTAAAGTAGTTAATTACTAACCCAAAAGATAAATTTGTAAAGAAACTGATAAAAAAGAGATTACTTGGGGTAGCATAAGTTCTTGTGGGTTATATGGTTTTAGAATCGAATCTTAAATCACTTTTGCACCAAATCAAATCATACCAAATCAAAAACCACTTTTGCACCGGAAAAAATGAAAAGAGGAAGACGGTGGTATATCCACCATATTTTTCTCCTTTTTCTTATGAGAGTGTTTTGTATTTTTCTCTTTTTGATGGCTTCATTGGTGTGGATATATCCAATTGTGAAAGTTGGATCAATATTTCAGGACCATCACTGGACAACAACCCTACACCTTGAAACACAGAAGAACAATATACGTTAATTAAGGTTTAAATATTAAACTGTTCCTATTTTATTATTTTGACGTTATAAAAAACTACAAAGTTTAGTTCTTAAACGAGTAAATTTAATGAATTTTAACTATTTTGTAAGCAAATTATAAACAGTTAGAAAAATCTTCCATAAACAACTGTTCATCTTAAGATTCAAATTTACAATCTCTACTCACTACTCATAAGATGAAAATAAATACAGATAGATATAAGCATCAACAAGCGTGGACCTGAAATTGCAAAACTGTTTTTCATTTTTTATATGTCAGAAACATGGTGTTGAATTTTATCTTGAAATTAGAAGCAGAATTTTTTTTTTTGTTCTTTTGATATTGTGTTGGGTGTGAGAGATAATTTGAACTGATAAACAGACGAAATAATGTTTGGAGTTGAAAATAAATGTACAGGGAGTGGTCTTAGATATTTTGGGAGATATTTTGGGTTTGGGATCTTTCTGGAGCAACTTCAGTGTCTCTTCACAAAGCGACCCTACAACAAAAATATCGGAAAAGTTGTTTTCATAACAAAACAAAATGACCATACTGCAAAACCCAATGCCACCAAAAGAAGCACAAAACTTAAAAGTAACCTTGATTCTTGGTCTTTTATCAGCGTTTAATTTCCGAACTTGGTATCTTATCTTCTTTGAGAACAATCTGTTCTGACGTTTCTCTTTGTATCTAAGAACACTTGCTTCCCTCCTTGCTCTCTCTTCTTCCAACACTGGCACTTCTCCATTCTAATATTCCACAATTATATCATTCATGGCTACTCTATATTAGCAGACACAAACTATGGAAATATCTATTCTACCTAACAAAATTAACGTTGGAGTTATCCAAAAATATGTACACACACCCTAAAGCAATCTGTTAATCACTAAAATCAAGTAAAACTATGATTACCCAGAAGAATTTCAATCACTGTATATAAGAAAATCTACCAGAAATAGTTTCTTTCATATCAAACAACACTAAAAGAAAGATTATATGGTTATATGGCCCTAAAGAATTGAAGATATGCATCTGAATAAGCATAGACAAAGTAAAAATGACAGAGGAAGAAGCTTATGAGAATGAAGATTAATGGATGGTAAATACTAACATAGTAGCCATTGTTGGTGGCGAATGAAAGAGAACAGTCATCAGCCCAGAGAGACCCTCGGTCAGACCATGCATCCAAAACCTCTTGATAGTTCAAGTTCAAGTTCAAAGCGACCATCTTCTCATCATCCACTTCCCAGAACCCAACAATGCTTTCTCTCTTTATCTGCTGCTCCTCAAAAAGGTAATGGCTCATGCCCTCTGTAACATTCTCTTTCCCTTCGTTTTCATCTTCTCCTTCCTCTCCAATGGGGGCGAATTCCTCCCATTCCATGAAATCCCAGTGAAGTTCTGCACTTGAAGAGTTTTGATGCAGCAACTCTTGATCCTCCTTGGAGTTGAAGACCCCTTGGAGTTCATCTAAAATATTGAAATCTTCACAGGTGTAGGGTTGGTTAGAAATTGGCAATGAGGAGGTGATGGCATCTGGTACCTCTTGTTCTTCTTTCTTGGGGCTTCTGAGCAATGAAGTGTATCCCATCTTATCTCTGCCAAGTTTCTCTCTCTCACTTTCTGTGGACTTTGTAATTGCATAATAATAATAATGCATGTGCTCCTACCTTCCTATGTTATGTAACTTTCAATAATATGAGGTACGCATGTTATATAATTGGAACAATTACAATGAAATAATTCACCTTCTCCTTCGCTTATTCCATTTTCTCAACCTTTCGTTGTTTACTTGCATATTCTTTATGTTTAATCCTCACATTTCAAAAATATATATTTTCATTCATCCATCCATTTTAATTTTTACAATTATAATAAATTTGTGTAAATATGAAACTAAATATGTAATTAAATAAATACAAATTAATAGAATAAATATAATAATAAAATGATGACAATTTGAAATCGAGTCATGCATAAATCTAAAATTTACACATATCTAAATATATAAAATGTGTTCAAACAAGTCTTCATTTTATCAACTTTGTTATTGTTACATTATATTATTGTTAATTTTTTTATTATATTAAAAATATTATTATTATTATATATTAATTAATTTGACAGTAAAAAGGAAAAAGAAAAAGATATAGATATAGATAAAAGTCCAGGTTCACTACTAACAATAAAATTAAGAATTAATATTCACTGATAAAACCTAATAATATTATATCATAATATGGTTACTAATTATAATTGAATTTTTTTTTTATGTTTTAAAAACTTAAATGAGGATTTCATACCTTTTTCATTCTCATCTTTAATTTAATTTGTATTGACTTGCTTAGTTTCTTGTAAAATAAAGCATGAAATATATATATATATATATATATATATATATATATATATATATTTATTTATTTTTCTTAATTTTGATTTTACTTCATGCAAAGTTTTTAATACATTTTTATTCTTTTTTATTTAACAAAAAAACATGTGACATCCTCGTTGTCTCCACCAAGTGCTTTGGTCATAAAATTCAAAAAGTGCATTCTTTTCTGTAGGCATGTTATTCAGCATCATAGCCTACATAAGAGAACAATACGACGCATATTTATTTTTGCAAGTCTCCTATTAACTTGGTTGTCATAATTTATTTATAAGTGGAAATAAATATATTTTTTTATAAAATATAAAATTTGATTAAACATAACTTCTATTAATATTTTTGTCTAAGTTTCAATAATTAATCAGTTAGTTAAATTGGAACATAGACTGCACAATAATATACAAAGTAAAAATTCTCCTATATTTTTAAAAAATGATTGAATATATTTCAGGAAATTAACAATGTTTAATTTTTTTAAGCTATGTTTTAATCCTTTATCAACTATTACATCGTCAACTTATCTAAATAGATTAAAAAAAAATATTACCAAAAATTGCATAACATTTTAAAATTACCTAAAGTTAATATTGTTTTATATATGTTTAGATTTTTTTTTCAAAAAGTCTTCTACAATTTAAAATTTACACGATTAAATAGTCCTTTAGCTAATATGTGCATTGATAATACCTTTTATTTATATATATAAAAAGAGGATTAGTTAAAATCAACTAATGTATACATATATTATAACATACATAAATTTCAAGAAAATAAATTTATTTTAAAATTAACTTTTAAAGAGTTATTTCCTATTTTATATTATTTTAAATTATTAAAGATGTTATTTTCAAGTAAATAAAAAATATTTTAAAATTACTATTTATATTCATCTCTCTTTGTAGGTGGAGCACGGACGAAACCAGGATATATACTGGTTGTTGGGGCAAAATTTAAATAAATATATAAGTGCTAAAATAAAATTCACACAAAATATTTATAATTTTAAATGATAAAACATATAATAGATGATATTAAACAGTTTATACTCTTCAAAATTATAAAATAGTAATCACCAACTTCACATGTAACTAAGAACTTTCATAAATTTATTATTTTAAAAAATTATATTTTTGTTAACTATATTTTGTTTATGTAATTATCTTTTAAGATAATAATAATAATAATAATAATAATAATAATAATAATAATAAAATGAAGAATCAAATTTTTTTAAGACAGTATAAGAATAGAAAGAAAAAAATATTATTGTAACCTAAACAAAGAGAATAACTCAAACAATTTATGATAAAAATTCAATATCTAATTTTGTTTCTCTAACATTCCCATAAACACATGATTCTGATGTATAATTGATTATGAGAATATACTAAAACTTTACCATAACATTGTAACAAATACAATAAACACATTTTCAATTAGTTATATAATATTTATAAATTTGACTCATTGATGAATATCTAAACAAATCTTTAATTTCTCAAATCAATAAAAAATAAATGTTAATGAAATAATTTGATCACACACTATAATTATTTATATTTTTAAAATAATAATTATAATAACATTATACAAGAAAAATAATTTAAAAATAAATAAATTTGAAATATTTTATATAAAAATAAAAATTTATAATTATCTTTATAATCAAACAATATACTATTTTATTAAAAATAAATAACAATTAAATGATATTGAAAAGGTCAGGAGTCAACATTCTTGCGCATTAGAGTGGTTTTAACGCTAAAGTGGAAGACTTAACCAAACCAATAAATATATGATTCTTTATTTTTTTGTCTGTACTTCACAAGTTTTCTTCTTCCAATCTTATTTCTTCTAGAATATTGACACCGGCCAAAATATATTCTAAAAAATCCATTCCAAAATATATGGGAGGTGAAAAAAAAAAATGTAAGAAGTTGACACCGAAGTGTAATGGCCAGCACCCTTAGGAGTTGGGCTAAAAACATTGTAATAGTTCGGGCCTTTTATGCACCAAAGAAAAAGAGAAAACATACACAAGATAATGTAGATTTGGTCATAATGTAATATTATATTAAAACATTGGTTAACAATTAAACAATTCTACATACTTAATAGTTAATTTGTGATATAATAATAGTATAAATTTATTCATGTTGTCAATAAATTACTTTTTCTGAACCTATTAGGATATATTTTGTTCTAATTTATGAAAACAGAAGTACTTATGTTTTCCCCTGCCACATAATCTTAATTCTAGCAATCTCCTTAAAATGCTCGATATCCTCATTTTCTTACTGTTAAGAGTCCAACTTAAAATAATGATACATTAAGTTAAAAATATCTTAGCTTAGGCACCATATTAATTTTCTCCTTTGTTCTATTCAATTTGAAACTCAAAGCTATATTGCTTTAGTTAAATAAGTAGTTAAATAAGTAGCTATATAGGGCACACAAATAAGTAGTTTTTCTTATTTATTATAGTTAAACAACTATAATAATTAATCAAGTTGGAATAATTAAAATACATTTTATTTTGATTGATTCTATTCATCATAACTTCACCGGGCACAAAGGACATTGAAAGTAAATCCTTATTGGATTAATATGTTCCCTAAATCCTGATTCTCTTGCTCCTACTTTTCCTTTCCATTTTCTTACATCATCACTAAACCACATGTATATACCACTCTTTTCTTTTCCCTCTGCCATTTCATCATATATTTATCATCATATACGAGATCCTAAGAGTATCAATCAAGGACGAATTGTACTTATATAAATATGTCACGATTTCTTTTTGTACTTTCAAACATGTATACTTTCAAACATGTACTTTCAAATGTGCGTTAATCCGTTTAAATCAAACTAAATAAAAATAATGACTCGTAATTTTTTTTTTCCTTGACTCTACTATGGGCCTGATTGGATTGATCCGTCCTTTTTGACCGTACTCTTTACACTTTACCTACTAAACTCAACTTTCAAATGTCTTTGATCAAACCAAGTTTCAATTAAAAGCAATACCAAAGTTGTTTCTGTAAAAAAGAAATCTATTCAAACTTATAAAAATGTAAAACTATAATCCAACTATCTAAACAAGCACGAAAACTAGTATTTTACGCAGTGCAAAAACTTACTTCTTTTTAAGCATGTAAGGAAAGAAAGAAATATAGCCCTCTGGATTTTAATCATTCTCGCGAAAGAATGAAATATATACAGGAAAATTGAACCAACATAGACTACCTGAACTGGTTACTGCAAAAATAAACGCGGTCATAAATTATATACAAGCTTAAAAATTTATAAACATTTTCAGATATCCGTAAAGTTAAATTATGTGCGCTATTATTGAATAAGTTACATTTAGGGGAAAGGAGACAATTTGCTTGCAACGTTACATTTTTTGTTTTCCTCGTTCAAAAAATCAAGCATAGCCAGAAGCCTACCTAGGCATTTGTGTACGTTGCAGATCATACGAATGATGTAAGGATGCTCCGGCTGCATCTTGAGAATGTGCGTCAACCCCAGCTTGCATCTGAAAAGTTCAGCAAATTTGAATAATTAATCATCCTAGCATTCTTATATGCATGAGGTTATGTGGAGGTATCGCATTGGGAACACTGTCAAATAGAAAACAAAATATCTACTTGGATTCATACATTCAGCAATAGAATACTCAGGCTAGTTAGCAGAGCCAGTTTTTCTTCTCAAGATGACTTCAAAAATGAAACAAGAAAAGAAAGAAAGTTGATAGTAAGTCAAAGTCAGTGTGCCAAATGACCAAATTGGCAGCAAATAACTATTTTGTAAAGTTAGATATGTTAATAAACATTAGAAAATAAAAACAACTGTTGCCATCCAAGAATCATTTGCATTGTTGACTTTTTCAAGTGAATAGTGACTGAGTGTATTTCAGAAGTAGACTGGAAACTCCTTATCATCCTGCTTGGTTTTGACGAGAAAAATAGAAGAAATGGAAATAAAGAAGAAACAAAATTAAATGTTTAGTTATTTTGTAGAGTAGAAATAGAATTCAATTGTTTTAAAAATTGTGTAATTTGATTTATGTAATAGGAAATAAAAGAGATGAAGTGATGAATAGAAATAGATGAGAAATAATACAATGGAAATCCCACTATTTTTCAAGATTGTTTCTTTTCTTTTCTCCTTCCACCAAACACATTGTTAGTTCTCTCCCTCCATTTTTCTCCTCCACTCCACCAATAAAGGCATAAGAGTTCTCTTTATATAAACCAGAACCAAATGCACGCTTCGAGACTAGCCCGTAAAAGACATATCAAACCTGTAAGAGAGTGCCATACATACCTGATGCATGCTATAAGAATCAGGAGGGTATGTGACTCCTCCATATCCTATCTCAGGATTGTCATAGTTATCAGGATATCCAGGACCTGTATAGAAACGAATCCAGAAATTTATAGTGTGCATCTATGAAGAATTAAAAAGAAGTGGTGCTTTTTCTTAACACTAAAAAAATTTAATGTTCTGAAAAAATAGAAAAAGATGTACTATATCATAAAAGTACCTTTTTCAAAGCTTATACAAATGGATTCAAACATTCATAACTTGTGAAAAATTCAGTAAAATAACCAAATTTTGAGGTTTTATTTATCATAATAATTTTTAAAATTATATAAAAAATATTTTTCATTCTTTTTTACAAAATTAAAAAAGTCCCTAAAGAACAAAGTTTGACCAAGTTTTCAGGTTATGCTTCTGTTGTATCTATTAAGAACCAAAAGTGAAGGACCATGAAAGTCAAATTACTTGGTTTTGCATCTGCAGCCATCGCAGCCATTGCCCTTTTTTTTGCATTCGCCAACTCAGCCCGTAACTTTTCAACCTCACTGGACATTATAATCATATTGTTGTCCATTGCCCGTCTGTGCTCAAGGTTACTAGTATGTGTCTTCTTCTCAAATTCAATAGCATTCCTAAATGCATCAATAAATGAAAATTTAAAGCATGCACATTGCACAATATTCAGACTAAGTGAATTATTTTTACCCTTGCATCTCTAATTAGATGCAGGAAAGATCACTCTTTGAACAGGGTAAGATAGAGTGGTTGAATTAGGAAGCCTGGAATCAGTGGCGACAAAGGTAATAACAAAATCTAGATACCCAGATTAAATCTTATTATGTTATAGGCTGATATGTAACTGAACTAATCACAGGGTTCAACATTAGAAATAAAAATAAACAAAGCATGAGATATCAATCAGACATGCTTCTATACACAGTGAACAATACCCATCAACTTTAGTTTTAAAACACCTCTTCTGGGAGATCCATCGGGCATTATTAAGTTTCACAGTTCAAAGGAACTCAGACATCACATAATCAGGATTAGAATCACCAGACTCAGGCACTCAGAATCATAGTCTAGCTAAGAAGTAAGGCATAAACCAGTGGACTGATAAGACATAATAAATTCAAAAACTAGGATTGCATTTGGTAGAGAGGAAGCATGTGACTAAAAAAGTAAAAATAAGATGAAAATATAAGTTGTTTGTTTTAAGAGAATAATAGTGAAAATAAAAATTTTAAATTGCTTAATTAAAAAGAAAAGAAAATAAATGAATATATTAATTATTGATTATACAAGAATAATTGATTATACAAGATTGTGCAATTATTTATATGTCAGATATATATCAACATATAATTGACTATACAATAATATCTTGTTGCATTAACAGCCTTGTCTCTAGTTGTGGTGGGTCAATGTGGCGTTATGGTGAGTGCAAGCTAATAGCGCAGAGCAGAAAGATGAAAGAATGTGTTTATAAGTGCTCTGCATGGAGACTTCGCTCTCCAGTTTTGTTTATAGGCTATAGCAGATATCCTGTACGTTCCTTACAATTCATTCACAAGCACACGCACAGACACTTAAAGAAATAGAGAAATCCCCTTTTTAGTTTCTGCTATTGTTTAATTGTGTTTGAACTAAAGATTCAGAATAATCAATCAAGATGCATATATAACTATTTATGTTTAAACCGGAATCAATTATGTATACATACACAATAAATCATAATTAATTATCCATACATACACAATAAATCTAACACAACTGCATTTAACTAATACTGTAAATGAGCATCACATGCGTAGAGCCATAAAAGAAATATGCAAATTTCTTTGCATTTCTTCTTATATTTCTGGGGGACTTTTGTACCCCACTTGTTTTACAAAATTTATTTGGCATATCTAACCAGAGAACCCAATTTCTCAATTCTCTTCACCATTTCACACCACCAAACAGAGCATAAAGACAGTAACATCAATATTGTCAATAGCACGAGTCAAATGACAGGCAGTAAAAGAAAGCTAAAAAAAAACACCAGGTCACATGGTTGCAGGCTGCCATATTGACATATGACTCCCATTTTAAGGGAAAGCAAAAATTAAAAAACTAATAATACAATGAAAGGAGTAGTGAGTGGCAAACACTAAGAAAAAATAAAGTTTCTTTAATCACATGGTCTCAATGATCCAAAACACATGTTTCTACGCTATATTTCATTCGGGTTCTGGAAGCCTTCCACTACATACTCAGCGGGAGAAAACCTAACAACTAACGACGACGAACAAAATATGGTCCTTGGGCCAGTAGCCACAACCAACCATTAAGTGCAAGATCTGTACAACACAAACTACCCTAACACATTTAGTCAGGAGCTTTACTTAAAAAGCTTCCATTCACCCAATCACATTAAGTAACCGATATCTAAAAGGCTTTCAAGTTGCACCCTATCTCTACTCTTTTCACATCCAAGCCAAGAAAAGCATCATTCACCAAAATGAAAACCAACAAACCCAAGCCATATCACTTGATTCTCATTCTAAAAATACACAAGCCCTAAACAAATAAATATCCTCAAAAAGTCATTGCCACAATGAACAATCATTCACCTAAATAAATAAACAATTTACCTTCCTCGTTGAATCTCACGACGCATGGCCTCTAAATCGGCTTTGATTGCTGGCAAAAACTGCGCATCGGCGCGTGCCCTCCCGAGGTCGCTCCCAATGCCCTGCAGCTGCGCCGCGAGCTCCTTCCGCGACGCCGCGAGCTCCTGTACGTCCGATTGCACCCGATCCAGCTCGGCGCTCATGGCGGCAACAGAGCGCACCTCTGCGTCCACTTTCAGCGACTTCTCGTAGATCTCGCGCACCTCCGCGTCACGCTCGGCCTTGACCTCGGCTGCTGCGGCAGAGAGGCGGCGGAGCTCCTCCTGAGTGGCGACGAGGTCCTGTTTTAGGGCCACGTGGATGCCAGCGAGGCGCTTGTTGTCGGCGATTAGGGTCTGGATCTCGCGGTGGCGCACGTCGACACGGTCCTCGAGGGCGCGGACCACGGTGGCGGAGGAGGTATGTGCGAGGCTCATTTCGTCGAGGCGCGTGAAGGAGGAGGGCACGTGCTTGCGCCCCGCCATTTTGCGGCTGTGCCGCGTAACACTGCTATGAGCGCGAGAGTGTCTGGATTTAATTTAGAAAAAGAGAGAGAAGAGAATAGACCGCGAGTAGTAGAGGGAGTGAGTGTTTTCTTCCTTCTATCTTCTGAGTTTTTCATTCACACCTCCTAGTCTATTAACTTTCTTCATATTTCTTATTTTAAAATAAATTCTTCAAATTTATGATTATTAAACTAATAATATTTAATTTATACTATTTTTTGGGGGTACTTTGAGCACAGAAAGGATTATCTCTCCATGTATGATGGATCTTGATATGTAAGGGAGGTTTGTTGTTTATATGGAGCAAAAATGTTCTGTGTAAATAAAGAATAAATTAAAAAAATCAGTACATATCTAATTCAATTTGGGAATTATTTTTCCCCAATGTCTCGTGAAAATTCTCATCTCATCACTCAACCAACCTTTGTTGGTTAATAATAATGGTTTATTTAGTATTAATTAATGAAAAAAAATCATGACAAATGTTATTTTTCCCTTATTTAGAAAAATGTTTGTCTAATTTTGACTGAACTACTGTAGTTAAGTATTTTATAATCAATGGAAGTTTTTTTAATACGTTATACACAGTGAAATAAAGAATGTGCTGTGGGATAAAAATTAAAAATATATTTGAGCGAATTTGTCTACAAATATTAGTAAGAGAAGAAATTAAGAAGAAAATAATAAAATAATTTTTTCACATACTTTTTTATTTTTTCTTGTATAACTCCTTTAAATTATTATTTTTAACTTATATATAGAGATAATTCAAATTTATTAATATCTTATTTTATTGTTATATTATATAGATTAAAATTGACGTAGTATACCTCCTTTAAAATATATTAAAATAAGAATCATTTAATAATATTTTTTATTTTATTTAACACTAATAATTAGATTACAAGTAGTTTCACCACATCCAAAATGTTACTACAAAATTATCTTATGATATATGCACTCGTAATATGTCTAATAAGTTTAATATATCCCATAACAACCGATTCATTGTAGTCAAACAATTAACAATTTTGATTTCATTTAATTGATTCTCTCGTTTGAATATTATCCCACATTTGCTTATATAATATAAAAGAAAAATATAATTATTAGTAACTCAAACAATTTGATATACAAAAAGTGAAATTTGATCAATAATTAATGAATAAATGTCTGGTAAATTTATTTAACAATCAATAGATTTATATCTAGCTACAGAACGGTCGTGTGGACTAACAGAAACAAGGGCATGCAATAACAATCTACTTTTATTTCTGGAATAGTTAACAAAATTAATAACACTATTATGGCATGATCTACAAAATATATTAGCCACACCAGAGAGTATACAAAATCTGGCACGGCATAGACGACAAAATTCCAGGCAGCTACCTGCAAGATCGATCACAACCAAAGAAGGCCACCTCAATGCAGAGTTTTAATCCAATCAGAATACTAATGGTCTACGAAGCTTTAAGAACACAAACAACGAAATACCAGGCATCTACTTGGATCAATCAGAACAGACGAAGGGCGTATTCTCTATCCAATCAGAATACTAGGTGAACACATATGAAACCTTACAAAGACAAGATGCTAAACGAAAGAATTTGATCTGATGCACATAACCATTCAACTCACTAAAGAAAAGTTTGCTGGATGATAACAAATCAGCAAAACAAAACTACCAAGGTTTGACGTCTGAATAAGAAATCTAGTAACTCTTACAAGCACAACTGTCCTTAGTCATTATTAGATAAAAGTATGCAACAAATCAGACTACTGCTATGAACATCCATACCTAGATGCTGACCATGCAGTAGCCATTACCAACACAACTTTTAATAGAAAATAAAATATAACGCTCACGATTTCTACTTGCTAACTGGCTTAGGTTATAAATGTTCCAACTTGATGCAATATGCAATTAGGAAATATAAAAATAAAAAGGAATCTTCCAAAACTCTTGGATGGGTAGTATTTATTTAAAAAGAGAAATGAAGTAACAAAAAAAAAAACAATTTGAATATTCTATGTAAAAGAAAAAGACAACAGGACAAAATATGCTGAATTTAAAAATAAAGGAACTTCATTAGTTCGAGAACAAATACGAGGAGACCAGAATCATAAATAATCAAAAGGGACACAAATATAATTAAACATATAATACTTTTGCAAAACATATGTATTTTATTAGTTGAATAATATTAATTGTCACCAAAATCAATAACCTTCATTAGTGGCAATTCAGTAATCTAATTGACATATGCTATACTTCTACTTAGAAGTAAAATTGTTCCTAAAACATGAAAAGGATATCAAACATGTTCACCACATTCTTCGTTTTTCACCATCCGTATATAAATAATTGCACTTTTTTATTAGGTCAATATGTATATAATTCGCTCTACTGGCTCCATATAACTTTATATCGGGCTGCTTGTTAGCAAATTTTTCAAATAAAAAAGTTCAACAGAGTCGTCATGTAACCTAAATTGAGCATAAATTCATTAAGAACATGCAGACGGGGAAACTTCTTTTCTAGGAAAAAAGCAAACAGATTACAATTCCAATATTCTCTACTAGGGATTAATTGATCCATGGAACTATGATTAAACATAAAACATCCCTATAATGTCAGCACTTGTTTGAACCAGATACCAAGTGGGATGAACTAATAATGCAGGCATTTATCCAGAAAATAACACAGTTCAGTTTCCCCGCAAGAATAAAGCATGTTTTCATGAAAGCATGTGTCATCAGAAACAAAAATAAAACCTACCTTAGCAGCTTGGTGAATATGCACTTGCCTCTTTAAAAGCATTCACATGATCAAATTAATCCCTGCCTAAAAGTAAAACCCCACCAGCAAGTGACAAAAAATACCAGATGGAGCAAAGAGGTCTTGCTAAAAGTAAGTGAACAACCTACCTCTTTGCTATCATCTCAAGTTATCCGCCAACAGAGTACAACAAATCCCTAAGACCACACATCATAGTACATAAATTGTTCTCTATTGAATCCCTCAGTATGGCCGGGAACGGTTCCCACCAAAATTATCACGCCTATCAGGTCCAGAACCACCTCCATCTCTATAATTGTCTCTGCGTCTATCTCCACCATAGCCACCCCTATTGCCCCTATAAAATTTTAAAAAATAATAATAAAACTTAAAATAAAGACTAATACATTAAATTAAAAACACAAATTTATTACTTAGAATTAGAAAGTCATTTCTATAGTCAATAATACATTTGAAACGGTTATAGTACAAAATACATCGCACTGTAATCAACTAAGCCCCTAGAATAAAAATCAACAGCAGTCCTTTCATTGATTCATTATTATTTTGAGGTTTTTCAAGGTAGTTAAAAAATGAATCACCAGACCATTCATATGAGGAGTAAGGGAGACAACAAAAACAGCGCTGCTACAGATAGGATTAATGTGACAGCTGCAATTTCTCCACAGATCCGTGGAGGACACGCATTGCAACTTTAACACAATAACAGCATTAAAGACACATTTGACTACTCAGTTTTTTATATTATGGGAGTAACTTTTGAAAATATATCACTGGACAAGTTTACTCAAAATAATTCTCAAATTAGATTTTTCAGTTTTTAAACATATGGCAGCTAACCAGAGGTTGCTAACTATCCTAACCTCAAAAAGAATCAAACAGCAGAACCTAAAAAATATTTTGTATCTATGATTTAAGTTCTGACAAATAAATTCCAGTATCAAGCCAATGAACAATCTTAATGTAAACTCTAAGGTTATACAAAAAACTGGTGCTCACATTTGTTTATCATCATTATTATTATTAAACATGGTGGTGGAGGGGGTGCTGCCTACACCACTGCTACTATGACATAATTAAAAGAGGAAATAAGAGCCTAGGAAACACTGAAATAACAGTCACACAGCTTACATGCATACACTAATATGACTAAATATTTCGAAAGCAGTCATTTTCAATGGTAAAATGAACACAGTCAGCATCTAAGTGGAAAATGATAAATAACGGAAATATGGAATACCCATGGTTATAAGCAGGTGGAGCTTTTGGCGCAGATTTTTCTGCCATTGCAACAGAGATTTTGTAACCCCTCAAATCATAATCTGAGATGATAGATTAATGGTAAGTGCCTCTTCATGATAGGAGATAAACTATAGTATCATAAAAGCAGTAGTAGAAGTTAGATCAAATACTATTGTAAAAACCGCCAGCAGAATGAGCTGCCGAAGGGTCTTCATATACAAGACAACCGTCACCCTTGTTGTTTCCTTTCTCATCAGTGTATAGCTTTATGTTCCAAGGCCACTGGTCTTTATACCCCCTCTTTTGTTTTATTCTTCCAACCTAAACAGTTACAAAGACATGGGAGTGTGAAGATCAACACATCAGCAAATCAGAGATATGCATATACATGAAGGAAACAAAATCTATAGCATGTTCTGCCTCTTCACCAGGAAAATGAAAAATATATGCTCAGGAAGCCACGACGGGTTCAAATCTTTCTTGTGTAAATAAAGTAGAATGCCCTGCTGGACACTTGCATGCTCAGTAAGAAGATAATAATATGTTAATTTACTCTGAAAAAAAGGCATTTTCATGCAAACCATTGCTCATAGAACAAATAACTCTCTTTATAGAGCTCGAACAAAAGTCAACAGATCAGAATATTACTTGTCCAATGCCTCCAAAAAGTTCTCTCAATTCTTCAATAGTCACATCCGGAGGTAAGTTTGATATGTAGATTCTAGAGTTGTCACAGGAATCCCCACAATTCTCATCACATTGCTTCAACTTAGTAGGGGGCTCAGCAGGAGCTCCACCATAACCACTATCATATCCAACCGACCTACCACCATTATGTGCATCTCTTCCACTAGTATTACTTCCATTTGGTGGTGGATAAGTTTTAGGTCCACCAGGATAGCTTGCAGGTGGAGGAACCGCATCAGTCCCAAAATTTGAATTCCCACCAGAAGAATTATATGCAGGTGGAGGAACTTGGCCATATCCACCATCTTCTCTGCCTTGACTACCTCTGATGCCTCCCCCACTTCTACCAACATTGTTATTACCTCTTCCTCCATCGTAGTTACCCGATCTATACCCACGACTGTTGCCATATCCCCCTCTATTATAACCACCACCACCACGATCATTAGCACCAGCAGGAGAAGGAGCACCACATTTGTGACACTCAACCCTTCTCGCAAAGTTCAAATTCCCACAACTATGTAACAATACCAATTTTCCAATAAAATACAGAAACATAAGAATCACCAGGTGTATTAAATATCCACAGTTCCATTCCAACTACTGAAAACACAAAATATCCTCCATAAAAAAAAAAGGTAAAATAAGAATAGCAAATCGGAGAATAAAATCTCAAACCTTGAGTTAGGACAATGCCAGTCTCCGTCTCTACCACTTGCGCGGCCACCACCTCTCCCACCACGATCCCCGCCTTGATACCCACCTGTCACGATTAACACAGAGTTAAGACATTTTACGATTCAAACAAAAGATAAAGAAGCAAGAATAGAGAGAATATTCGAAACCTCGTCCACCCAATCCTCCACCTCGTCGACCACCGTGACCTCCGCCGTCGTTACGGCCATATCCACCATCTTGATCGTAAATTCCAGACATTATTGGACTCCGACGGGGACCTGTAGAAACGGAAAGAGAGGAATGGATTTGTCTGGGTTCAACTTACTCTATCCCTGGACTGTAACTCAGCAAACTGGTCTTACATATGAGGAGAATAAGAAGTTAATTTAAATTTGTATTATTTTTATAAATAGTTGTTATAAAGTTAAGCTTGTTTTATTTTTTTCTTTTTTAAAAAACTTGTTTTAAATTTATCTAATAAAATCATTTTTCATTCTAACCTTTACAAAATTATTTATTTATTTACAATAAATTTGTATTATTTAAAAATTCTATACTAGTAATTGTTGAGGTGAGTAAATGGTAGATGATGAAAATAGTAAAGAAGGTTATTTATTGATTTTTAACTTTATTATTTATTTATTAGATAACTTTTTTATTAATAAATTATATAATATATATTTTTTTTAAATTATAAATTTATTTATCCAATTAAATATTTATTTATTGATATAAATCTCAAATATGACAAATAAAATTTTATATCATAAAACCTTTTCTTACTCATTTTTTAAAATAAGTTTATATAAGAAATATATTATAATTTTTTTATTAGTAATTCTTAAAAAAATAATTTTTTTAATTGGATTGATAGATTAACAAATAAGAATTTATAATAATAGATATTTATCTAACTGCAGATATAGATAGATAAAAAAATATAAGAAAGAAAAAATAAGAATGTTCTTATTCAAAATGCCATGACCCTCAATCAATTCTCTTTAATTTTTTTTAATTTAAAATATTAAATTTAAATTTAATATAAATATGTTAAAATATTTTTTTAAATCAAAATTAAAACTTAAAAATATTAATTAATTATATTAAAATTATGATGACAACTTATATTATAAAAATCTTAAATATTTATATCCATTTAATTAAAAAAACCTCAAATTCATTTGTTTATTAATATTTGTGATATTATTAAATTCTTAAACATTGTAAAAAATTAAATAGGTTAATTTAAGAATATTAAAATATTAACTAATTATATATGTGAAATTAAAATAATTTCATTAGTTTTGATAAAAAATATTTTATCATAAAATTATAAATAAATGATAAAAAGGTAAATGTTTTAAGGTTTTCAACAAAATATGCATTAATTTTCTTATTATATTATTTACATCAGAATAAAAAATATATGTTATTATATTTTAATAGATAAAAATTAACTTTTTACATTATTATAATATTTATATATTTATAATTATATTAGGAGAAGTGAAAAAGAGAGAAGAAAAAAAGTGAATGATGAAAAAAAAGATTGATAAAAAGAGACATAAATAAGGAAAAAATTATTTAACAACTTTGTTAATTTTAAATTATTTTTATTTTTATAAAATCCTTTGATGATTATTATATCATGTTGCATGAACTTATATCATTAAACTTTTTTTTCTCAGACGAATAATTTCCTCTATAATATTCTCTGAATAATAATTTATTTTATAATCAAAATTGAATTTTTTAATAAATAAGAAGTTCAGTTAAATAAATAAATAGAGAAGTTTTATTTGAATATATTTTTTTTAAAACATATTACTTATATGATTGACTTTCTTTTATGGAGCTGTATTTTTTCCTGCATGTAATACATTTTTTTTCTTTTAAGAAGGGCTTTACAAACCATCTATGTTTACATGTACATTTTATCACGGTTGAGTAAGAGATGTAAATAGAATTGTGATTTTTCTTGTTTCGACTTTGTGAAAATAGACAAGTTAAATGTCTGATCCGTGTGTTAGAAATAAAGATATTAAAAATGCAAATTTTATGATATACATGAAGGAAGAGAAAACATTAGGGAGCTTTATTCTGTACAACACACTAGTCATAAACTTCAGACAACAGGCGAATTAACCACATTGTGGTTTTGGGTAAAGCCTTCAAATCCTGTTCTAGTAAAACTCATCATTTAATATAAACTTCACAGCTATACAGGTACATACCCGTGGCCTCCCCAGCCAATTAGATAAATATATCTACATATTTTATCTTAAAACATTTTAATATCTCATTATTTTATTCAGGTATCATCTAAAATTTCAGGGATTCTCTAAACCAATATCCAAGTTTCGTACCAAGATGGTGACAGATTGAACCACCAGAAAAGAACAAAGCCATCGCATTTAAAAAATGTATATTTTTTTTTTCTAAACCAATATGCCAGGTTCTTACCCAGATGGTGAAAGATTGAGTCAGACAAGAACATCTTAGTGATACAAGGTGGAAATGATGAGTTCTACGGGTACAGATTTGAAAGCCTTGACTCAAAACCACAAATATTTATGAAACTTTTACTTGTGTTTGGCATTAAGTTTTAGAGAGTAGTTATTTTTAAGAACAATTTAGAATAAAATACTATAAAATATGTTTGGATAGAGTATCACATTGACATTACATATCGAATTAGCGTCAATTTGCATAGGCATTGAGGTAACAAATTATACAGAAACATGTGCCATGAGGACTCGTAGCAGCAGCAATTATGAAAGGAACCCTTTGCTCTTCAAATCCTCTACGGCGTCCTTTATAATCTTCTCAATTGGAATGAATTGCAAACCCAAATCCATAAGTTTCTTAGATCCATCCTTCACTCTCAGTAATCCCGGTTGGGTATCTAGTTCCATCCTTTAAAGGAAAATTACACAGTACATCATGCACAGGTAAGTTGTTTGTATTAAAGTATCCCTAGTAGAATATATTTTTGATAATGAAGACAATAAATAAACAAGTTTCAGGTTAACTAATCACTTCCTCCTTTTGCCTGTTTAAGAACGACGATTATGGAAAAGTGCACACTAACTACAGCATGCACTATTCAATGCAGCAAAAGCCATGTAGGGTACATAATAGTTCATAACTTGTATAAGAAACCACAACCTGAAGATTTCTGTCATACAAGATAGATATTTTAGTAAGCATATGACTGAAAAGTGAAAACCAACATTGTTGGACTACTCATGAACCAAATTGTTTTGTGTTCAATCAAGAGTAAGAAGTTTCTCCAATAGATAATCCAAGAATCAAGTGTAAAACTAACTCCTGAATTACCTAGCAAAACATGATTGCATTGTTTTGACAATACATCTATTAAGTGTGTGGCTTACTTACTTGGGCACATTGTACTCTGGATAAAGTTCAGCAACTTTGGCCACAAAATCACCATAGTGAGAGATAGCTTCAACACACACATGCCTACCAGCGGCAGATTTGTTCTCATACACCAAAATATGTGCCAATGCTACATCCTTAAAGTGAACCGATCCCATAAAGAAGTTCTCATATGTATCATCACAGCCTGCAACACAACATATAAAATATCACATAGTCTCAGTAAACTCCTAAAAAGTTATAAATTTTAAATATTTATACACTATTTTGCTATTAGTATTCGGGTCAACAATGATTACAACTTGGTAGAGTGCAAAATGCTAAAGAAAAGAGTACAACATAATCAAACAAGTCTAATTAATACTTTTCACGAAGGCATAGAGCTCTAGATGTCCTACACAGCTATACTATCAACTATACAGTAGCAGGTCTTGAAAATGAGTCTACTAACTAAGTAACAACAATAGCTCTATTCTCATGATACCCTTTTATTCAGTTAAAAATCAAATCTTAGATATATTATCCATCATAAGATCCTTATCATCAGGGTTTTAAATAGAGGTATGGGACTATGACAACATGGCCGCATTTGTTTGCCATTTAAAACCTTGACCCCTTTCAAAAAAACTCCTCTATCATCCTTCTACCATGCAATCTACTTTTCTCACATCATATGCGTCTTGTAGGTCAAAGATACTTTGGTAACTGCCACAATATTTTACGACTTGACAGTTCACATTACCAATATTCAGAGGCAGAGTAAGCAAATTAAACATGCTCACTAAATCAAGGGCATCCTGCAGCAAAATTAGAAAGAAATATTTGCAAAATCCAATTGATTAACCAGCAGTCTCTCTACCTTGAAGAAGGCGCACAAGCATGACCATGCTTGCATTAAGCCTCGGTGTAATAACAGGACCCATCACAGTGCCAGGATTCACCACAACAACATCCAACCCAGTCTCTTTCGCAAAATCCCAAACCGCTTTCTCGGCCAAAGTCTTCGACAACGGATACCACAACTGTTACACACAAAAGGACAAATGCTCGTAAGGAAAAAAAAAAAAAAAACAGAAAATGAAAAATTGAAAACCCTTTCTAACCCCCTTTTGCTTGCAAAATTCAACGTCGGTCCAGCAGTCCTCCCTCTTGGGAACATCGCCGGGCCAATTGGGGCTCGGAGTAATGGCGGAGATGGAGGACGTGACCACCACGCGCCGCACCTCTGCTTCTTTCGCGGCTGTGAGCACGTTCACGGTGCCTTTGATAGCCGGGTCCAGAAGTTCCTTCTGCATGTGAACACAAGTTAGAAACAACTGTTTTCTGTATCAGATGTTTTCTATACTTCAAAAAAGAAAAGCAGTACATCTTTATAGGTGAAAAAGCATCACCGTGATACACCAAAAAAAATCAAAAGAACTACCCATAAAACGTGGGAGGTTATCTAAGAGCTAAATTTTAGCTTTCTTCCTAAAGACTCGATAGTAACTGATCTACTTATTAAGACTGTATAACTGCTTAAATAAATCATTAATTTAATAAATAAATAACTAACAATCCCTCCCTTAAACTAAATGCTTGAATAAGCAATTTAGTTTATTTCTGATGCTTCAGTAAGTCCCAACATGCTTCTAAATTTCACAAACTGCTCTAGTTTGAGTGGCTTGGTCATTATATCAGCTACTTGATTCAGAGAACTGCAGTAGTGTAACTTGATTTTCCTTCTTTGACAAGGTCTCTTAAGAAATGAAATCTAAGATCAATATGTTTACTCCTGCCATGAAATACTGGATTTTCAGATAACTTAATAGCTGAACTGCTATCACATAGAACCAAAACGTGTTTATGATCTTTGAAACCAATAACCTCCAATATTCTCTTAATCCAAATACATTGACATGCACTTGTTGTAGCAGCTACATATTCTGATTCTGTTGTAGAAAGAGTTACAATTGGATGCTTCTTGGAAGACCATGAAACAGCTTCAGTTCCTAACATGAATACGAATCCCGATATGCTTTTTCTGTCATCTATGTCTCCAGCAAAGTCACTATCAGTATAGGCTACTAGTGTCATGTTTTCTCCCTTTTTGTAGAGAATTCCAAATTCAGTAGTCCCCTTCAAAATCTTAGAATTCGCTTGGCTGCAAACCAGTGAGTTTCTGTGGGATTGGCCATGAACCTGCTGATTAAACTGACAACATACATCAAATCTGGTCGAGTAGCAGTCAAATACATGAGACTTCCAACTACTTGTTTGAACAAAGTAGCATCCACCTTGGTCCCTGCATCATTCCTCGACAGTTTTGTTCCTGGTATAATCGGATTTTTTACTACATTGCAGTTCAACATACCAAACCGAGATAAAACCTCTTTAGCATACTTCCTTTGACACATGAAAATTCCATGTGTATTCTGCAGAATTTCAACTCCAAGAAAATATCTCATCTTCCCTAAGTTAGTCATATCAAATTCCGACATCATGGAATTTTTAAAGTCATCACACATCTTTACACTATTTCCAGTATAAATTAGATCATCAACATATAGACTCCCAATTAAAATTTTACCTCCCTCAGCTGACTTTGTAAACAATGTATGTTCACAGAAACATTTTTCAAAGCCATTTTGTAGAAAATACCCTTCTATCCTGTTGTACCATGCCCTTGGTGCTTGTTTGAGTCCATATAATGCCTTTTTTAGCTTGTACACTGTTAGGAATCCTGATATTCCTAATAATATTGTAAATGTTGTTGAACCAAACAAGGCAAAACATTGGTTGGTTTATTCTAGGAGAAAGAAATCTGTTAATAAAAGTAGTTAGAAGTTATTAGTTGTTTCTGTTCAACTGTTTCTGTTTAACTGCTCATGATCAACTATTAATAAGTGCTTTGGGGGAGGAGAAGTTTTAGGAGGGTTGTTTTTGTAAATCTGGCAGAGAATCTTTCTCTGAGGAGCCTAGCTCTAGAACTTGCTTGTATTCTTGTATCTGTTCTGGAATTCAAGAAGATTTTCTTTCATTCTTTCTTCTTTATCTTGGCATTTTCCCTTAAAACCTATCATTGGTCCGACCTGCCGGATCTTGTAAGGAAAATTCATCCAGAATTTTTTCAATGACGAGACGGGGAGCACCTGAGACTGTGCGGGGGGAGGCGGCAGAGGAAAGATTGAGTTCCTTAGAAGCAAAACTTGACGCCTTCATGGAGACAGTGGCAGGAAGGTTTGAGGTGTTAGTGGAGTTGGTGCAGAATTCTGGTAGCAAGCATACAGGAAGGGAGAATGACTGTGGTGAGGACTGGGAAACATTGAACGAATTTCGTATGATGGCCAAGAAGGTAGAACTGCCTTCTTTCAATGGGATGGACCCTAGAGGATGGATTACTAGAGCTGAGACATATTTTGAGGTGCAAGGCATTTCAGAATTTAACAAGATTAGATTGGCAAGATTAAACATGGAGGGGGGAACCATCCACTGGTTTCAAACGTGGTTGGATTCGGAGGACACTCCCAGTTGGAAATCATTCAAGAATGCTCTAAGAATACGTTTTGGGGGAGGACGCTTGGATGATCCGTTTGAGGAGTTGGCTGATCTTAGGCAGGAGGGTTCGGTGGAAGAGTATATTGAAATCTTTGAGTTTCTTGCTGCTCATGTGGGTCGTTTACCAGAAAATCAGTTTGTAGGCTTCTTTATGAAGGGATTGAAGGATCAAATTCGATTGCGGGTGCGCACATTGCAGCCCAAGAACCGACTGGATGCCATTCGCATGGCAAGGTGTGTGGAGGCCAAGATTTGTGGGACGGTTGTCATCAATGTTGCTAGAAGTAAATCTTGGAGTAATAATTTGAATCTCTCCCGTGGATTTAGAGGAAATATGGTGCATTCTCAGCAGGAAAACACTCAAACGCGTGGTGATGTGAGGTCTAAAGGAACAGCCAACAGTGATAATTTTTCTGGGAGGAGATCTGAAGCTTCAGTAGGGTCTTCATTTGTGAACCAGCGGAGTTCCCAACCGTCTTACAGAGATAGGGGAGTTAGGCATCTTTCTAATAAGGAGGTTGAGGAAAGGAGAAATAAGGGGTTATGTTTTAGGTGTGGAGACAAATACCATCCCTTGCATGTGTGTGCTGACCGGCAGGACACGCAGTTAAGGTTGGTGCGATGAAAGTTTCAATGATGAAGAGGAGATCACTAGGGGTGAAACTGATGATGTGGAGATTGAGGGGGAACAGTTGGACTGTAATTCTATGAATTTGTTGGGGCTGAATGGTGATTATCATGGTGAAATTCATGTCATGAGATTGGAAGGAAAATTGGGAGAATTCCTATAATTGTACTAGTGGACAGCGGGGCCAGCCGCAACTTTATTTCACCCAAAGTGGTCCAGGCTTTGGGCTTAATGGTGGAAGAGGCTGATGGTATTGGAGTAAAATTGGGGGATGGTCATAGGGCTAAAACATGGGGTATTTGTCCTAAAATTCAATTAGATATGGGTACAATTCAAATACAAATTGATACTCATGTTCTGGAGCTTGGAGGTTTGGATTTAATTTTGGGAATGGCATGGCTGAAAACCTTTGGAAAAATGGTTATTGATTGGAAAGACTTGTCCATGTCTTTCCAGGACAATGGACGTGTGGTGGAATTAAGAGGTATTAGCAGCAGTAGAGAGAAGTTGATTCTTTCATTCAATGAGCTTCTTGGTGATCAATTTTGTATTATAAAGGGGTTAAATTGGAAAAAGGGAGTGTTGAATACAGCTATGGGAGATAGTGACTTGGTGCAACAGCAGCTTCAACAATTGCAGCAATTACTGCAACAGTATGCCATCATATTTGAGGAGTTGCAAGAATTACCACCTAAAAGAGAGGTTGAACACTCTATAACTCTTTACCCAGGTACGGGCCCTGTTAGTGTGAGGCCATATCGATACCCCCATCATCATAAGGATGAAATTGAGATACAGGTGAGTGAACTCTTGGAGGCAGGAGTTATTAGACGTAGCAACAGTTCCTATTCCAGTCCTGTCATTTTGGTTAAAAAGAAGGACTCTTCATGGAGAATGTGTGTGGATTATAGAGAGCTTAACAAGGTGACAGTTCCCGATAAGTTTCCTATCCCTGTTGTAGATGAATTATTGGATGAACTGCATGGGATGCGTTATTTTTCTAAGTTGGATTTACGTTCAGGGTATCACCAAATACGTGTGAAGGAGGAAGACATCGAGAAAACTGCTTTTAGGACACATGAAGGACATTATGAGTACTTGGTTATGTCTTTTGGGTTGATGAATGCCCCAGCTACATTTCAATCTATCATGAATGAGGTTTTTAGGCCTTTCCTTCGTCACTTCGTTTTGGTTTTTTTTGATGATATACTGGTTTATAGTGATAGCTGGTCTGCCCACATATCACACTTATATAAGGTGTTGAATATTCTCAAGAAGCATCAATTTGTTGCTAATAAAAAAAATGTAGCTTTAGAAGAAGACAGGTTGAGTATTTGGGTCATGTTATTTCAGAAAAAGGGGTTACTATGGATCCTACCAAAATCAGTAGTATTTTAAGTTGGCCTATTCCAAAGAATGTTAAGGGAGTGAGAGGGTTTTTGGGGCTGACGGGATATTACAGAAAGTTTGTGTTGGATTATGGGAAGATGGCCAAGCCTCTTACTAAATTAACTAAGAAGGAAGCATTTGTATGGAATGAAAAGGCTGAAATAGCTTTTCAGTGGTTGAAGGAAGCTATCACTGCTGCTCCTGTTTTACGTTTACCTGATTTTTCACAAGAGTTTCAGATTGAATGTGATGCGTCTGGTAGTGGAATTGGGGTTGTTCTCATGCAGCATCATCATCCTATAGCTTTTTTTAGTAAGGCTCTCTCGGCTGGACAGTTGTCCAAATCTACCTATGAACGTGAGTTGATGGCTTTGGTGTTATCTATTCAACATTGGCGCCATTATTTGATTGGCAGGAAGTTCACTGTTTTTTCAGACCAAAGGAGTTTGAAGGAGTTATTACAACAGAAGATTACTACATCAGCCCAACAACATTGGTTGTCTAAATTGCTTGGGTATCAATTCTCTATTGTTTACAAATCTGGGCATGAAAACAAGGTTGCGGATGCCCTTTCTCGGGTTCACGGAGAAATGCAGTTGAATTCTATTATGTCTTATCCTTTATGGTTACAGGGTGAGGAATTAAAAAAAGAAATTCAGGAAGATGAACATATTCAGCGAATAAAATCTGAACTTTTACAAGATCCTGCTAGACGGAAAGGGTTTGCTGTGCTAAATGGAATCTTGCTTTATAAAGGGAGTATAGTTATACCAGCTAACTCTTCTTACATTTCCAAGTTATTGGAGGAGTTTCATGCTTCTCCTGGAGGAGGACATTCTGGGTTCTTAAAAACTTATAGACGGCTTGCTGGAAACGTTTATTGGGTGGGTATGAAGAAGAAAATTTTGGAGTATATACGTGGATGTGATGTGTGTCAACGTCAAAAGTATGCTGCTACTACACCAGGGGGATTGTTGCAGCCCCTTCCTATTCCTTCTCATATCTGGGAGGATATATCTCTAGATTTCATTACTGGGTTGCCCAAATCCAAAGGTTATGAAGCTATTTTGGTTGTTGTGGACAGGTTATCTAAATATGGGCACTTCATACTCCTCAAGCATCCTTTCACCGCTAGGACAGTAGCTGAAATTGTTGTTAAGGAGGTGGTGCGTTTGCATGGCATTCCATCTTCTATTGTGAGTGATAGGGATCATCTCTTTATTAGCAGTTTCTGGAAAGAACTTTCCAGATTACAGGGAACTAAACTCAACATGAGCTCTTCATACCATCCTGAAACAGATGGTCAAACGGAGGTTTTAAATAGGTGCCTTGAAAGCTATTTAAGATGTTTTACATCAGAACAACCTAGAAATTGGTCTTTGTGGGTTCATTGGGCTGAATTTTGGTACAACACGTCCTTCCATACTGCTACTACCTTTACTCCCTTTGAAATTGTTTATGGGAGACCACCCCCACGGATTATCAGATTTCTTCCAGGAGAGACTAAGGTACAAGCTGTTGCCCATGATCTTGCTGATAGAGATGAAGCTCTTGCTCAACTGAAATTTCATCGAGATAAGGCCCAACGATTAATGAAACACTATGCTGACAAGAAGAGGAAGAATATATCATTTCAGGAGGGTGAATTTGTTTTTCTAAAGTTGCGTCCTCACAGGCAACAGTCAGTAGCTAAACGCATCAATCCCAAACTAGCTGCTCGATTCTATGGGCCTTATAAAGTTTTGGAGAAGATAGGTGAAGCTGCATATAAACCGCAATTGTCGGAGTCATCCGGAATTCACCCTGTTTTTCACGTCTCTCAACTAAAACGGTGCTGTTGGGAATTATTCCTCTTCTTCAGAGTTACCTACTTGGATTTGAGGTGGAATTAGAAGTGGTTGTTGAACCGGAGGAAGCATTAGCACAAAGGGAGATACTTAAGCACAATGCTCTTTGCAAGCAATGACTCGATTAAGTGGAAGCACTGTCTACCAGAAGATACAACGTGGGAGGATGAAGATGTTTTGCAGCAACAGTTTCCTAATTTCCAACTTGGGGACAAGTTTGTTCTCCTAGGAGGGGAGAATGTTAGGAATCCTGATATTCCTAATAATATTGTAAATATTGTTGAACCAAACAAGGCAAAACATTGGTTGGTTTATTCTAGGAGAAAGAAATTTGTTAATAAAAGTAGTTAGAAGTTATTAGTTTTTTCTGGTCAACTGTTTCTGTTTAACTGTTCATGATCAACTATTAATAAGAGATGATAGAAGTGCTTTGGGGGAGGAGAAGTTTTAGGAGGGTTGTTTTTGTAAATCTGGCAGAGAATCTTTCTCTGAGGAGCCTAGCTCTAGAACTTGCTTGTATTCTTGTATCTGTTCTGGAATTCAAGAAGATTTTCTTTCATTCTTTCTTCTTTATCTTGGCATTTTCCCTTAAAACCTATCATACACCTTCTCCATGCAGGAATGCACTTTTCACGTCCAACTGAAATATGACCCATCCATTTTGTGCAACCAATGAAATGATTATACGAATAGTGTCTAGTTTGGCGACAGGTGCAAATACCTCTGTATAATCCACACCATAGTGTTGTGCATATCCTTTTGCTACCAACCTTGCTTTGTATTTGTCAATATCTCCATTCTCCTTGAGCTTAGTCTTGTATACCCATTTGATTCCAATTGGTTTCACTTCTTTTGGTGCCTCAGTTAATTTCCACGTTTGATTTTTTTCTATAGTTTCCATCTCTTTTATCATTGCATCACGCCATTTTTTACTCTTGACAACTTCTTCAAAATTTTATGGATCAATTGTTGTTGTAATCATCGCCCTTGTATCATCATCAGACAATCCTTCTCCTCCTTCATAATCTGCCATCCAAATAGGTACTTGGCAATGCCTTTTAACCTTCCCTTCAAGTGGAGTCTCAGGTACTTGAGTATGAGCCCCAATTCTGGAATTTGTTTCAGCAGCATTTTCTGACTCTTGTTGCGCCTCCTCACTGTCTGGTGTGTCATCATGTTCCTCCCATTCAACAATATCATGTTGATTCTCTACTTCATTATGCTCCCACTTCCAACCCTTATACTCTTCAAATATTACATCCTTACTAGTTATAATTTTTTTGTTGACTGGATCAAATAGCCTATATGTTTTGGATTCATCACTAACCCCAAACAAAACACACCGCTTACTCTTGTCATCAAGCTTAATCCGTTGTTGATCAGGCGTGTGGACATGGGCAAGACATCCAAAAACTCGAAAATAGTCTACAGAAGGCTTCACACCACTCCAAACTTCTTCTGGGGTTTTATCTTTTATTGCTGTTGTGGGGCTCCTGTTCAGAATATGAACACACCATTTTGTTGCTTCTGGCCAGAAAACTTTAGGTACCTGCCTTCCATTCAACATTATACGAACCATATTCATGATGGTTCTATTCTTCCGTTCAACAACTCCATTCTATTGGGGAGTATAGGCAGCAGTTAATTGACTCCTTATTCCTTGATTTCTACAAAAATCATCAAATACTTTTCGAAGAAAATTCACCTCCCCTGTCCGTCCTCAAGCATATAATGTTTTCTCCAGTTTCTTTTTCAACCATTGCCTTAAAGCTTTTAAAGAAAGGAAAAACTTTAGATTTCTCACCTAAAAAATACACCCAAGTTTTATGTGATAGATCATCAATAAAACTTAGGAAGTATTTTTTATTGCTCCTTGAGTTTGGCTGAATAGGTCCACAGATCTGCATGTATCAGCTGCAGCCGCTTAGAAGCTCTCCACTGGCTTTTCTTAGGCATAGCGTTTCGGTGCTGTTTTCCTGCGAGACAATGTGCACAGAGACTTTGAGGAGTGGTAATTGAGGACAACCCCGTCACCATTTTCTTAGAAACAAGCATTTTTAAGCCATCATAGCTTAAATGTTCGAGCCTATTATGTCATAATTGAGACTTATCCTCCACATCTGCCTGAAAGCATGTTGTTGCTGCTACCGTTGCTGTCAAAACAAACATTCTATTTTCACTCATTTGAATCTCCATAATTTGCCCCTTCTCTGGATGAACAACACTGCACTTGTTGTTCTGAATATTTATACGCAAACCCTATTCCTGTAGCTGTCCGAGACTCAATAAATTGTTTTTGAGTTCAGGAACATAGTATACATGTGTAATAACATGTACAACACCTGTCACCACCAATCGCACACTACCTTTCCCCATCACAGCTATACGGGTGTCCTTCCCCAATTTCACCTTGTGTCGGAAACTCTCATCCAATTCCGAGAACCACTCCTTATTACCACTCATGTGGTTGCTGCATCCTGAGTCAAGAAACCACTCATCCTTTCCTTCTTTGCTGTCAACAATAGCCATCAACAAGAGCTCATCCTCTTGTTCTTCTTTATCCTCTATTTCTGCATAATTCGCCTTCTTCTCCCACAAAGGACATTCATACCGAAAATGTCCAAGCTTGTGACATTTGAAACATTCAACAGCTTTATTAAACATTGGTCTACCCCTTCCTCTACCTTGAAAGGATCCTCGAGTTCTTCCTCTTCCTCTACCTCTTCCGCTATTTTTATCTTCAACCACAGTCTGCATGACTTGCTCCTCTTTAGCTGAAAGCATCATTCTTTGCTCATGTACTAATAAGCTACTTTGCAATTCATCTATAGTCATCATATCCATATTGTTGGATTCTTCAATGGAACATAAATTTGAGTGTTATAGACCGCAAGATTTTTGCAGTTATGACGTTTTCTTTTATAATTTCTCCAACTGCCTTTATGCTTTTGGCTGTTTTCAAAGTACGTGCAAATAGGAGTTTACTGATTCTCCTTCCTTCATCTGCAATGTTTCAAAATCCTTGCGTAAAGCTTGTAGTTGAGCATGTTTCAGCCTTGTTGACTCCTGAAATATTTGCTTCATGGAAATTCTTGGATGTTTCGTCATTTAAGATGGTGTCCAAAATGTCCCTATCAATTGCTTGATAGAGATAATTTTTGATCTTTAAATCCTTGAGTTGTTGTTCTGCCATTCTTTTGAGGTCATCTTCTGATGCTTTTTCCCTGTCTGGTACCACGTTAATTCCTTGTTCCACTAAGTCCCAATATTCTTCGGAACGCAAGAAATTCTCCATAAGCTTGGCCCAATGTTGTTCATAATGGTCATCGAATTTTGCAATAGCTGGTTGGACATACTTCACTGTTTCAGCCATCTCGAAATTGATTCTTTTCAATACTCACAACTCATTGATCCCACCCTCTCTAGGTGTTTCATTCACTCACACACGTACCTTGTTCTGGTTCAGGCCCATGTCAAGAGGCTCTGATACCAAATTGTGAACACAAGTTAAAAACAACTGTTTTCTGTATCAGATGTTTTCTATACTTCAAAAAAGAAAAGCAGTACATCTTTATAGGTGAAAAAGCATCATCGTGACACACGAAAAAAAATCAAAAGAACTGCCCATAAAACGTGGGAGGTTATCTAAGAGCTAAATTTTAGCTTTCTTCCTAAAGACTCGATAGTAACTGATCCACTTATTAAGACTGCATAACTGCTTAAATAAATCATTAATTTAATAAATAAATAACTAACACTGCATTAAGTCCAAAAGGGGTTAATAGCCGAAAATGATCGAAATTTGTGAGGAGTTCGAGGGATCAAGACCTGGGGGTCGTGGACTTGGTCGACAGTGCAGGGAGAGGCGAGGTGGAAGACGCCAACGCAGCCGCGCACGGCGGCGATGATGGAGTCGTAGTGGAGGAGATCCATCTGGAAGAGGCGGAGGCGCGCCGAAGCTCCATCCAGGGCTTCTAGATGCTTCGTTTCGGCCTCATCGTCTGTTAGAAAAGTTGTGTTGTGTAAGAAATGTGATGAAATGAATGAATAAATGAGTGTGGAATGTGATAACTGAGATTTTGCACGGTGGCGTGAACGGTGTAGCCGCGATCCAGAAGGAGGTGGACGAGCCATGAACCAATGGCGCCGCTGCCGCCGGTGACACACACCACCTTATCCATCCTGCAACAATGTTACTTTGTGCTGATTCGGTAGCCGAGAAAATGTTACTCTTCCTAGTTTTATTTTAATTCATAAGACACTTAATTTCTAGTATTTTATGCTATCATAGTAGCTTTATTCTCCATTTGAATAATTTTTCTATAAAATTAGTTTTAATAAAATATAAAATATTTTTCTATAATTATTTATATAAACCAATTAATATAAACATTTATTTATAGCTCATACATTTTAAATTGACTTTTATTGTAAAAAATTGTCTTAACTTATTATTTGAAAGTAAAATCATGAAGTTGTATCCTAATAACTTACATTGACAATTGCATTTTAAAATGAATCACTTTTACTCTACCAAATTGTCTAACATACTAAAATAAATTATTATCAACGGATAAATGTCAACATATGCCTCGGTAACTTTGTTAATTGTAATATTTTTCTAGAAGTACGAATATTTTTAAATTAGATTGTTAATTGTTAACGATTTTATAAAAAATAAATTTATATGTAATTACAATTATTATTTCACAAATTAAGAATCATGCATAATAGTAAAATTTATCTCACAAATGATACATCGAAAATAGATATTATATATAAATAAATTGGAGAAAAAAAAGTTTTTGTAGAGAAGGGTAAATAATAATGCATGTGATTAAGGAAAATAAATGAACCATTATTATGTGATCATAAACATAATAATAATGTATGTAAGAGACCAGAAACAATGAGTAAAAAGATTAGGTATGGTCTTATGAATCCGTGTGGGTTTTTTAAAAAGGAAAAATTGCTGTTTGGGGACTATGGCCCTTTTTTTTCAATAAGATTATAATAATAATGAGTAAATTATAATTCTTTTTTAATAAATTTTATAGATAAATAAGTAAGAAAATTATGAACACGGTTAATTGTAAGTTAAAAACATATAGAAGATTATAATAAAAAATATGTATGATAATGAGAAGGTTCTTCATTAAAATAATTAAAGACATTTATGCACACTGAGATTCAATGTTCACTCAATTTCAAAACTTACCTGCAACCTAAACTTTGACTAGTCTAACATTTCCAATAACAATAATCAAAACTAGAAAAAGAAAGTGGGACAAATTCAAGAAGAAGACAGAAAAACGGGAATGATGAAAATATGTATGAGTTCTTGGACATAATCTTTTCTGCTTAAATGCTACTAGACAACAGCAACATTGTAGATAATTTTCATGCAGCTGCACCTCCATTTAGAAGCATCTGATCAAAATGCCAAGCACCTGCAACTCCAACAATAATAACATATTCACTTCATTTTCCCCAAGTATATGAAAATATGAATCAACCATTTTTGTTTATAAGGTACAAGCAACAAATTACCATGTCCTTCGCCCACTCTTCTTAACTGAGCCACATATTCTGAGATCTTTTTAATATCTTCCACCTTAACCAAAAACGACAAACTATTGAGAACAATTTCTATTTTTGTTTTTTCATGCTCTACTCAAACCAGATGACAAAATTTAGAAGCACTATCATAAATATTGTTTACCCTGATTAACTGGCATTGAATGCAATAAACAATTTTACTAGATGTTATTCATACTAACATTTTACTGCATATAATTTTTGTACGGCAAAGAATAACACTTGACACCGCTTTACCTGACCAACCAAAAACTCGCTTTCAAGAAAGTCAACAAATTGAGCATCGTTGTTTTCACTTGCTAACTGCATAGTGATAAAAAATACAGTTATTGGCATAATATCATGCTGAATTTACAAAGAAACTTGGAAAATGGGAGATAAGGGGACTAAAGGGTTTGGGTTTAATCGACAAAAATATGAGAAGATTGAACTATATAGAAGTTGTATACGCTGTGTAAATTTAGAAGCTTCTCATTATTCAGCCTTTCCAAAGACAATGCAAGTTCCATTGCTGCCAAATGGGAGGAAACAGGAACCGAAGTATAATTAGAGAAACTGAGAAATCATTCAGTTTACAAATAAAGAACAAAAAGCACTCATCAAGGATTAGCAAAGCATGGTAAAAAGAAAACAATTTAAAAGTTCAATATTTATTAATTTCATATGTATGAAAAACTTACCATATAATGCATCACCTTTTTCTGCATGATCAAACTCTGAAAATGGCATCAGTATTGACTGCAGCTGAACCCTTCCTCCTCTTTTATTCTGGGAATAATATCATCAGGAATAAAAATAATTAAAAACAAAAGAATGCTATAAAAATTATTGCTATGGAATATATGAATCAGAGATATAGAAGCATGCCTGATATTCCATCATCATCTCAGCATGTTGTCTTTCCTCCATACTTGCTTCTTTGAAAAATCTACAAAATTGTGTGTAATTACCAGCATTAATTATGTGATAGTAATATTCAAATTACAAAAGAACCTGAGATTTTCGAGACTAATACTTGGCCAATCCCTTCAGAGCAACATTATCTCTGTCGAAGTAGCCATACATGGCATGATACACGTAGGAGACATTGTATTCCACGCTGAATCAAAACAAAAAGAAAGGAAAAATAGCATAAGATATTTGCATGAACATAATATATATTAGAAAGTCGCTTTAGTACCAAGGAAATCTAACGATTTTGGTACAGTTATTATATTTGAACCAACAATTGGAAAGTTTAGAAACACCAACAACCAGAGAGTTTCTGTACAAATTAAAACTAATGCTCCTCAAATTAACCCTTATACAACAGAAAAAAAAAATGGTCTTTCTACAATCATTCATCATCAAAGCATTCACTACCAACAAGAGCAAAAAATTCTTGAAAATTTTAAACTTTTTCATTTCTCAAGCACCTCATTACATTTATGGAAAAAACTTACATACGTATTGTTTTCTTTCACTTTTTTTCAATTGAAAAAAGAAAAGAAAAGAGAGAAAGTAAATCTTCATTACGCCAATTATTTAAACTTCAATCCCATTTATAAAAACCATGCGTGTGAAATGTTTATGAGAGAAAAGGACTAGAATAGAAAACAAGAAAACATGAAGCTCACTTGATCTGTGCATTGAGTGCTGCCTCAGACTGATCAGTGTACTTCTGGCGAGCCAGTGATGCATGGAGGGTTGTGGGGATGACAAGAAGCTCTTTTTTCACTTCCTCAAATGGTTCAAACACTATATTCAAAAGGGGTTGGTTTAGAGCCTCCTTGGAGGTCTTAGCCACAACCCCACAACCCCCATTTCTCTTGGAGAATCTGACACTATTCACAGGGTTGACAAAGGGTCCAGAGGAAGACAGAGAAGGGACAAGCTTCACTCTTTCAGAGACCGAGACACAAACGGATGAAGAACTTCCCAAGAGCATGATCAAGAGTCTCAGAACCACTCTGAAATCAGAAAAAGATAGAGAGGAACACAAGAATGAGTTGACGAAGGTGAAGTGTGATGGTATTAGTAGTAATGGTAAAAAGAGAATAATTGACCGTTGATAACTGTTCATCGTTTTTTTCGAACGGTTGTTATACACTAACAATCATTCTGTAACAAGAAGAGATTCACTAGTTATCAATCCACCTTTTCCTCTCTCTTCAACAACCAAACCACTTGCTCTCATATGGAAGAATATTTGATGGATGGATCACAAGTTCTGCATTCATTCTTTAATAAAATAAGATTTTATTTTTCTATGTAATGAATTACTTACATAAAATAAGATTGTGTAAAAAGAAATATTCAAAATGTAAAGGAACTCAGACCCGCATTCACATGGTCACACTTTTGTTGTGCAGGGAGTAATTATTGTATCAACTTATGCAGCGTTAAATTTTGTAAAAAGAAAGAATAAAAGAAAAGAAAATGAGTTGTTATTTTTATTCCTTTGGTTCTTTCTCTCGTGTAGTTTTCTTTAGAATTACATAAAATATCAGGTAACAAAATCACGTGAAATGTATCGACCAACGCGGAAACGAAGTTGTATAATTTATAATGAATAAATAAAATCAAGCATCTACTCTAAAACAAACATAAACAAAAATGTTGGTGGTTTTAGGTTTGACCTAGGTCGAATAGTTCATAAACTAAATGCACAATAAAACTAAATAGTGTGTTTTACTTGTTTGGTTAAGTAATCAAGCAACTTTGTTTGGTCAAGTAAAGATTACATCTCTTGGACCCAAATTAATTTTTATCCAACCCCAAAAAACGCATTTGTGGACCAAAAAACCCAAACTTGGTAATGGGCTCATGACTTCACGGGCTTAGAAATCTTTATGGACCCCGGTCGCATCACGAAACTCGGCGTTCTTTCCGTTCAAAACACCATTTCCCGGCACGGCGGTCAGGACATGCGTGCCACCGTCATTTTATTGAAGCTTTCACTCCTGCAGCGCCTATCTCACCGCTTAATCCCAATTCTCTCCTTTGCGTCGGAGACATGGCCCGCGGCAACGGCGTCAGTCGACGATGGATTCCCGTACTTCGACGTGCCGAAGCGTCGGCGGAGAAATTCGGAGAGGAAGGCGTACGTGACGCCGATGAAGGTTCTGATCGAGAGGGCAAAGGCAGAGAGAGAAGCGCGAAAGGCGCAGCCATGTCGGGTTTTGGACGAACCGCCGGCGAACGGGTTATTGGTGCCGGAACTTGTAGAGGTAGCTCATCGCGTTTATCAAGCTCGCGGCTCGCTCCTCTTCGGTCTGAGTCAACTCGTCCAAGTCATTCCCGTTTTGCGCTGCCGGTACGTGAGTTCGTAAATTCCTTTCTTGTTTAGCCGTTCACTTTTTAATTTTTAGTTTCTAGTTTCTTGCTACTAGTACTCATTTCTGACCTAGAAATTACTGATACTGAGTAATCATGTTATAAGTAACTATTGGAGAAAAAATGAATTGAGCTTCTTCTGTAAACTAATATTAACATATGCACTTAAGACTTTGGAGAAGTGACATGAGTAATAAAAGATAAAAACTATCAAATTGATGGTTGTAAGAGTAGAAGCAAATTGTTAGTGCAATTTTGTAAGAACAACGCTCATGATTATTGATGTTTGTAAGAATAGAAGTAAATCAATTCATTGTAAGTGTTAAATTGTTTTGCACAATTGCATTTAGCGCAGAAAAAGTGAAATGTTGTAAGAAAGTTTGCACAATTGAATAATGAGTATTCTTAGCAACATTGATTGGATGTTGTTGATTATAAATAATCTCCTTTCTTTATGGATACGTGATCTCCTTTTTGTGCTTCCTTTCTTTTTTAGCTTATTTATATTTAGTCTATAATCGTTTAGAGTTTTAAGACTTGGGGACTGAACAAATTACAGGACTCAATTTAAATGTTGTCGTGTTCATGTTTAATGGTGGTTCCATCTTATCAGGTTTTGTAACGAGGTCCACATTGGTTATGTTGGTCATGAAATTCGAACATGTACCGGATCAGAGAGTTTTTCCCGGAATGCAACGCATGTTTGGACAAGGGGAGGTGTTCGAGATGTGTTTTTCTTCCCTAAATGCTTTCATCTTTATGATCGTGTTGGTAAGCCAAGAGTTGGGCATGATGAAAGGTTCAGCATTCCTCGTATACCTGCCATCGTTGAACTCTGTATACAAGCAGGACTAGACCTTGAAAAGTATCCTACTAAAAGGAGAACAAAGCCTGTATATTGTATTGAAGGAAGAATTGTAGATTTTGAATCAGTTGTGAAAGAGGATGAAACTGAAGGACAATGTTCTTTTGGAAATGACAAACCTTTTGTGAATTCATCGACTTTGCTAAAGCAGCCTATAGAGAAGGTCCAGAATTTATTCGAGAACAACTTAAGCCATCTGGATCAGTTAAGTGATGAAGAAAGGAATAAGTTAAGGGATTTAAGTAATCATACACTGAACTCATGGATTGAGATGTCATCAGGTGCAAAGAAGATCATGGAGAAGTATGCTGTGAATACTTGCGGTTACTGTCCTGAGATCCAGGTTGGTCCGAAAGGGCATAAGTTGAGAATGTGCAAGGCTTCAAAGCATCAGTCTCGAAATGGTTTACATGCATGGCAAGAGGCAACATTAGATGATCTTGTAGATCCAAATTATGTCTGGCATGTGGAGGATCTGAATGGACCTGCTCTGAATAACAATCTTAAGAGATATTATGGGAAGGCTCCAGCTGTGGTGGAAATCTGTGTGCATGCTGGAGCTCCTGTTCCTGATCAATATAGGACCATGATGAGATTAGACGTGGTTTCCCCTGATCGAGATGAAGTCGATCTTGTGGCCTAAAATGCCATCCCTTGAAGATAGACAGTGTATGTTCATTCAACTTATCGACTTCATATGATCTTGGACTTTTGAGTTTTAATCAATTAGGAACTTTGTGTCTTATGCTAGTTTTTCTGTTCTCCGACCATTTAGGCTTCACAGCGTATACTTTGACATATTATGTCACCTTCAGAAGAAAAGATACACGATATCAAAACTTGAAGAAGTCCAAAAAGTATTGCATTATCATTTTCCCAAATTTGCTTGCATTTAGCACAAATTTTGCAGTTTATTTTGAGCTGGTGTTAACACTGGATTGCTACTATGAAATGCCATACAGCACCTATTCCAAACATAAATGCTTATAGATGAAGATTCTTGCTACCAGCATCAAAGTAAACCTAATCTCCAAGTTGTTCCAGCCCAAAATTGTCGCAAGCATATTATTTATATAGCCTTTGAAAACTTAGTTTACTTCAAGCAGTGGTATGAAAGCAACAAACAACTGATATATCCCAAAATTTCTACCACCATCATATTTGTTGAATTTAAAGATGAGTGATAGAAATAGAAAGGATGTTCAACAAGACTTGTTGCAGCTAAAGGTAAAATTGTTGTAGGATCCTTCTCCAGATTTTCATCTATATTTAAATACATTTTAATTAATTATTTCTTAGTTTGGATTGTATTTAGTAATTATTCTTCCTCTGTTCTCTAATTCCCTTTTTATGGGTAGAAATGAAGAGAACACACATTGATTACATGTACTGGGAGCTATACCCCTACCCTTTGGTTGTAAAAGAGGAAAGAAAATGAAAAAAAAAAAAAAGAAGGATTTTAAAAAAAATTGTTTTTAAAGTCAAATTTTATTTTTCATCAAATAAAAAATGTCACTGTTTGTGTTTACTTCTCCCTATTTTCTTATTTTCTTTCTTGTCCAAATTAGATTTCTGTGACTAACCTCGGAGTTAGTCTCTATAACATATGTTTCAGCTTTTTGGGTTCATTTTTAAATGTGCGATTTGGAGATTATTTTAGACAATTATGCGTTGTCTAATTAAAATTAGAGTTTTAATACACAAATGATTAAAGAAAATTCTAATTTTAATTTAACTTACAAAAATATTAAGAATATATTTAAACAAAATTGTAAGGAAGGATCGCTTAAAAATAATTTTTTTATTTCATTATGGATTTTATATATAAATTAGAAAAAATTGTTTAAAATTAGAAAAAAAAAACTTATATAATAATGTATATCAATTTTAAATAACTCGTACGTAAGATTTATAATAAAATAATTTTTTTATTTATTAACATTTTTTGCAAACAATTCTTTTTGAAAGATGTTCTTTAATTGTGCATTATTGAAGCACCATTCCTTCAATCGATTTCTTGGTGGTAAGTAACAAACAACCGTGGAATTGAAAGTAAGAAGGAATTGACTACACAGGGTCAGATAAAAAAAACACAGTCACATTGCAAATTTTTATTTAAATTCAAACTAACAATTTATGAAAGAACTAATCACAAGTTTTGCAAAAGCAACTTCACAACCTGTTTTTTTGTTTTTGTGTAAACAAACAACTAACTATGGATGAGTTGAGGAGAAAGGCCCAAGAAGATAATGGATTCCACGTACATCATGGAGATCACTTTCAAATTCATAGCGCCAGCCAATATCACGTGTTTTCTGCGATCACTTCCAAACTAGAATTGAATTTTCTCAAACAGAGTCGTATAATAAATTGGTGATTCAGAGTCACAGAATTCAGTCATGGGTGGATTAGGGAGGCACAGTTTTAGGAGTAGCTTTGAATTGATTAATTAATGAAGAAAATTCACCTGAGCAACAAGATAACTGTGATACTAATTTATTGTGTATGAGTTGGTATATAAAGAGTGTGTTCACTTCATAATGAACGAGGGACCCTCCAATATTGAACTCACCACTACATTCTTTAACTGTCACACTCTCGCAATAAAAGATAACAAATTCACACCCACTGGAGTTAATTAATCAATGTTCAATTTTGAATTTGAATCATTCTTGTGCCAGATTTTGAATTTACAGCTTCCTCTCAACTATCCATTTTTTTTTTCTTTTATCATTGGGTTAACCTAGGGTTTCTTTTGTTTAGAGCACTTAGTTATGTTTCAATTATTATTTAATCAAGTGATTATATGTAAGTTGTAATTAATTATAAAAAATATTATTAACAGCTTTATTCTTTTTCTTTAGATTTTATCTTCTTATATTGCAAAATAAATTTAGATCTAATTTAGTTTTTTAAAACTAATGAAATTAGATTTTAAGGTTTATATGATAGTGGTCCGATAATCTATGATTAATCTAATAAATTTTGATAAAATAACTCTGATCGTATTAAAAAAGAGAGTTATTTTTAACAACTTTTTCAATAAACTTCCGTTAAAAATATATTCTAATAAAAAATAAAAAATAAAACTCTAAATGTGGATTAAGATATATGTGAAAACTTTATTGGACTAGCAAAAGTTTATTAAAGAAATAATGCAAAGATTTATATGAAAATTTTAAAATTAAAATACGAAGATCAATCAAATGTGAGAGATTAATAATTTATACCTTTCCATAATTTATATGACTATTATTATTATTATTATTATTATTATTATTATTATTATGATAACTTATTAGAAATATTAGTCAACAGCGATTGCCAATAAAAAAAATTCTTCCATTTTACCATTCCATAATTAATATTTTTCATAGATAAAGTAATTCTAATAACATAAATGTAGCTTCTTTTTTTATTTTTAGTTAGCTGATCATATAAGTCTGTTGTTTATACTTTTTTTAGTGCTTAAGTTTTCTCTGACTAAGAATAAAGTTCAATAATTTTATTTAAGAAGTTAACATTTTTGAACAGATATTGTTTGATGTATTGAGTTAAAAGTTAAGCAAGTGTAGGATGAACTCATGATTTTATGAACACCATTGACCAATGCAAATTTGATTAAGAATGTTTTTCCTTCATTACCATTTACACTTTTCGTATTCTAAAGGAAAAAGATGAGAAACAACCCGAATTCAACATCAGGGCAAACTAAAACAAATACATCATTATCACAATAAAATTTCTGATTCAAACTCAATTAAACAGTAATTATGGCATCTACGATGAACACAAAACAACCATCTTCTGTTACTCTTGATATTCATTAGATTGAAGTTGGATGAGTGAGTAAATGAAGCAGTTTCCAACTACAGTGATGAAGATGGTGATTCCGTGATGAACAGGAAGAGAGAGAAAAAAAGAAAAGTTTTAAGTTTGTGTTGTACGAATGAGTACCTTAATGAGAGGAGGGTGAGAATGAAGCAGAGACAAGGAGTGTCAGAAAATAAATCTACGTGCTAGATACCCCTGTCGGTGACTCAACCTGCAAATTGTCAAAGTAGTTTTGGTCCCATTTCACTCACACGCACCATGTCCATAGCCATTTTACCTATTCAGTTGTTCATCTTTGAAATCTAAATATGTTGTCTTGTCTTCCCCACTTCATCACTCTTCCAACTCCAACTTTCATTTACCCGCAAATACCTACCTAGGCCCGACCCTGTTGTACTTTTTCTCTCCTCTCTTTCTTTTTGTTTCTTTGCATCTATATATATATATATATACAAGATTGTTTTATTACTCACTTAATAGTTATAGTTAAATCATTTTCCTCTACTGTGATGTTTAACCATTTTTTTTTCTCTGTAAAAACTGTTATTTTGATTCTAGCAAGAAAAAAAGGTAAAGATTTATTAAAAAAATTGCATAAAAAATGGGGTGGTGAAAATGAATGAGAAAATGCAGGTACGTTGTTGCGTATGAAACAGGCAAAAGCACAATACCCATGTCCATGTCATAATTTGATTTTACGCAAGTGGTGACGGTGTTGTTATTATAAATACAATTAAGCATGCATTATGATGCATATCCGTAGAAGTGTACACGTCACTGCATGCAATACCCTCGACACGATACGTGAGCCTCAATGCTACTTCTAGTACCACTTTAACTCTCTGTAAAAATAAAAACAAAAATAATAATAATAATGTATAATTAAAAGTTTGAATCTATAGGTTTTTAATCTCTAATCATGTATTTTTAATTAATATAAAATTTTAAAAAAATAATTAAGATTGTTATTAAGTCTCAGTCTATCTATTTAATGTTTAAGGTATGACCTAATTACTTTAATTAATATCAATTAATTTTAAATTGAAAATATCTTTATCAAAATCATCCTGCAAAACACCCTTAATTTTGTTTTATTTTTGTTTATCCTTACCCAATTGTTTGCTACCGGTGTGACTTTTGTATAAAATTACATATTTCTCGTCTTCTTTTGTGTGAAATTAATTACAAAAAATGTTATATAAATTACATGTCTAGGAATAAAAACGACCCATAATATAAGTTAAGGGTGAATATAATAAATAGAGCCGTCACTTTGTGATCATACGCCACCAATATCTTATTCATTTCTTTAATCATTACTACATAGTAATGCCATTTAAATAAACCAACACTAATTTTCTACACTATAATATAATAAGATTTAAACAGATACATATCACATCATTAAAATCATGTTATAGTTCTTTCTTTATTTATTAATTATTTTGAAAAAAATGCGTATTCTTATTAATAATTAATAATTCAAGTAAAATTTTAATGTTATAAAAAATAATTAAATTAAAAAATGAGATAAATAAGTCAAATTTTAAACTTTATATTTTCTAAAAAGTTAAACTTAAATTTTATATGACTTTAATTAAATTTAATTTAAAAAATAAGATAAATTTCAATTTGTTGAAATCTATCCTGACATTACAAATAACTAAATTAAAATATTTAAATAAGACGTAAATCTCAATTTATTAGTCAATTTTATAAAATTATTGCATTGAGTAAAAATATTTAATTTTACTGTAGTACCTTCGATGAATTGTCCAAATCATGATACTTATACTTTTTATAGACAAA